CTAAAAGTGCTATCTTTTAAATAAGCATATGGATGAACTAGTTATTTTTCTTCCTTCATTCCCTTATGCATTCATCGAAGATACAAATGCATTTATCAAAGACACTAAGTGTAAAGCTTGCTGAGATTAGCACTGCTCTGGATGCCAAGCAATTCACAGTCCAGTAGGGGCAAACAATTTGGATACACACTCATATGTGTAAGAGATTTAACATTCTTGTAACACACAAGCCCTTTACGTTACGTGTGCAAGGAAGAATTTTAGTTAACTTTTAAAAGCTAATAGCACTTGGGATGCTTCCATGTTTTAGTCATAATGCATAATTGTGCTATGATCAGAGCTGTACAAATATTTTCTTTAGTTTCTGCAAGTGAGAACTTTAGCCATGTGATTTAGAATTGCCTATCTCTGGGTCAGTCCAAAGGTTTCAATGTGGCCATGTCTATACAGGCTTTTCTGCACACAAAAAAGTACTGTATAGGAAGGCATGGAGAGGCAGGGTGTAGCCTATAGCTGGCAAACAGCCATTTGGAGAACTTTCCAATTGTCTATTATAATAAGGTGGTGGATTTGGTCTGCCATCTAGTGATTAAGAACTGAATTTTAATTAAATTTAAAAGCACATAAGATTTACGAAAGATAAATCTATGAGAATATGAAACATACAGGACAATTGGGTTGATTTCAAATAAAATGAAGTCAGATGAAATATATCTCTTCTAGGGTATCAGTGCCAGGACTTTCATAGAGATGAAGTCATCATAGATTCAATTTGTTGAAATGTTCAGTTAGGGGGAAAGAATCTTGTAGCTTGAAAGATAAAATTTGCAAGTACACAAACCTAGAATCTACAAAATAGAGAAACTACTATCAGATTTCTACCTATCCTTCTAAATTTTGAAAAAGTTAGCCAGAAATAGCAAAAAATACAAATAGGAAAAAACTGCAATGTTGGAGCTCTTTTTCATACTGTATGAAATACTTGTTTACACAAATACTTTAAGTAAATACATGTGTATTTTTTACTTCAGCCTCAGATCAAGGCTTCAGATGTCAGCTTGGGTTAATTTTATGATTTGGTTAGAGGACTCAAGAAGACAGAATTTCTTAGAAAATTATGTGAAAATTTTCTTAGTTATTTTTATTTTACTGTGAAATAGTAATATGTGAATTATTATGTCACTACAACTTCACTGCAATTTTTTTCAACAAATTGGCTACAATTTTGTTTTCTATTTTACTTTTCATTTAAATAAACATCTATGTACAAAACAAAAGGGGGATGATCTAATCATATGGTACAAACTACCATGTGGAATTGTGAAAACTGCTGGACACCCTATATTTTCTACCCACTGTTTCTCTGCATGTGTCTTTCATTCAGACATGAACAGTGAGAGTTCAATGAGTTTTCAAGCCCTCTGTGATGTGTGTGGATTCTTGTGTGGGTCAAGAGAAGGCAGTGAATGTGGTTTTTCATCTCCTTGCCATTTAAAAGCATTCCAACTAAATTTCCACATCATCTTAAATTTAATTATAAATTCTCAGGGGAGAGAGACAAGAGATGAATCAGACTATAAAACTACATTTTAACATTTCCATTTAAAGAAAGCAATATAGTGACCCATTTCTTTGCCCCTTGGGTTGAGGTCACCTTGTCCTAAATTTCCCGGAAGAACCTGCCCTTCTATGTGTTAGCACAGGACTGAGAAAGTGTATCTTTTTAATTCAACCTGGAAGGAGCCAAGAAGAACAGCATTGAGCCACTCCCTGAAAGGTGTCTCACACACTTTAATGATATCTACTTGTCAACCTTATTGCATGCCATATTGTTTTTGTTTTGTATATTCGCTATCCCCAATATGTATTTCATCAGTGATATAGCATATGTCTACATATGTCTCCAATGATCTTACATTTTATTATAATAACAAATTTTTATATTATAATTTTAAAAATATGTTAATTCTGCTCAATTAATATTAATAGATTATAATTTCTATATTATTTTTATTTATTACATAAATAAAAGTAACACTCCACAAAATTATACATGGCATATATTACTATTTTATATATATATTACACACATTACATTCCACAATGGTAATACATATTTTTGAGGACATAATGCATATGCTTTCAATATTTTGCATGTTCACTTCTAGACACTTACCCACTTATCTTTCCATAAATGTGTGTGAATGTTAATTCCCTTTTCCCACACCTGTTGCCACCCAGGGTGTGGAAGGGAGGAACAAGCTAACTGTGCTTACAGTGTTTCACATTTTTCAGACTGTGGTATTTAACACTTGTAAATCAATATGTCTTTCTCAATCATAAAGCTGAATGAGCAAAGTTATTTTAATTTATTTCTTATTTGCTTAATTATAACTGTTCAAAGAACTATGGATGTAGCCCTGCCATCCTGCCCGCTTTTTTTTTTAATGCAGGTCAAGTTTTTGGAAATATTTGTCACAGAGCTACATTGTTTTAAAATGATTATTCATCTAATCATCATGCTACTTATTTGATATTTACATTCCTCACTGATTTTCACAATAACCTTACAGAAAAGCACATAAAAACATGAGTCCTCTTTTCCTCTTGGTTTTGATGCTTCTGATAGCATTGTGAATATTTTGTTTTTTAACTGTTTACCACGTGGTAAAAGTCTTCTGGTAATGATGAAACATATTAGAAAGAACATCCTTCTTATAAAATAGCTTACAAACTGTAAATATGTAGTGCTTTGAAATGATTTTCATTTGCCAAATATCTCTCATGATAGAACAAATATATGAAGCGAAGTATTCCATAAAGCACTGAGAAAAATGTTTTACTGGTTTTGTTGATAAATATAATTGATAAATACAAATTGTATAGGTATGTTCTTGGGTTAACATGGCTATCTTAACCTTAAGTAATTTTCATTTAGTTCTGCATTATCATTTGAGTATATTTATATTCCAAATGATACCTTTCAAAAATTAATTATGAATATACATTTAAATTTTATTTTTTCACAGTCCAAAGTTAATACTGTGAGATTAAGTTAGCAAACCATTATGTCAGGTTCATTCCACTGCCACAATTTTCCTATGTACATATATAAAAACTTACACATTGAATCCCACCATCATGTACATCCATAAGAATGGAATTCTAACTAGATAAGATATATTCCATACTTGTATAATCATATTAAAATTGATTCTATTGTCATACATAACTAAAAAGAACCAATAAGTTAAAAAAACACAAAAATAAAACAAAAGCCTGATTATAAAAAAGTTATAGAGTGATTCTGCAATCTGTATATGGGGTAAAAATGGGAGCTCATAACCCACTTGAATCAAATTGTGAAATATGATATATCAAGAACTATGTAATGTTTTGAACAGCCAACAATAAAAAATAAAAAAAATAAAAAAAAAAAAATTGTACACCATGATCAAGTAGGATTCATCCCTGGGATGCAAGGCTGGTTCAATATACGGAAATCAATAAATGTTATTCACCACATCAAAAAAAAAAAAAAAAAAAAAAAAAAAAAAAAAAAAGTTATAGAGCCATTATTTAGATTCCCTCCCTCCATTTCCATTTGAGAAATGTTGAGTGGAGGTTCTTCTAAAGATGTAGTGCTAAGCATTGGAAATGCTATGAGGAACAAGGTACTCCTGGTCCACAACTGTATGGTGTTTATTATCTAGTGGAGGACATAAGGAAATAAAGTGAAAATAATTTAGATCATTCTAATTGTAAGAAACCAATGAGTAGCTGAATGAATGCATTAAAGAGTTAGGAGGAAGCATATTGATGCAGTAAAGAAATTCTTATTGGGTAGTCAGGAAGTATTTTGGGGAAAGGTGATAAGCAAGGCATGACAGCTGGCCATGAGAGCCTTGGATAAAAGAAATAAATAGTACTAGGCAACAGATCAATTTGTGCAAGGGCAGGAAAGGAAAACCTTTGCCTTAATAGAAGATTTTTGAATTTAAGTAGATGGGAAGCTCCTGAATGATGTAAGCAAGGATGATATGATCAACTTTATGTGTTAAAATACTACTATTTGGTTTCTTTTAAAAATCACAAAGTTAAAGATATAAAGTATATGTTTACTGGATATTAAATGTATAACAGAACTATTACTACTATGAATGCACATGTATATATATATATATATATATATATATATATATATATATTTCCTAATCTTTCTTTAACTTTTATTTCAATATGGAAAAGTATTTGGCAGATATTATGTAATAACACCCTATGTTGTTTTGGTTATAACTTTTCTTAGTTAATTTCAATGCAAAGATTATTGATTCATTATCTGTATAAATTTTGCATTTCTGTTACAATTTAGTAAGTACCTTTTGTTTAGGCAGATTAATGGAAATCTAGTCCATGAAATAGGAAGTGATTATCTTTTTTTTCACTTTATGTTTGAAATAATATCAATAAGCCTATACATCTTTCTTGGAATTTTCCTCCTTGGTCCATGCATACATACTGTCTCTTGATATAGAGTTTACTAATCTAAAATTTCTAGTAAGTTGAAGATCATATAGAGTTCACCAGAAAAGAAAATTTTATATTCTCTTTTGAAATATTATTTTTTATCTCCCTTTTCAAGTGGTTTGCTTTTATCTCTCTTCATTAATCTAATATTTATCATTTAAATCATTAAAAATACAATCTTGTAGGAAGCATTATGTGGTTAAGAAGTATAACTTGTTTGGATTATTTTTTTTCTTCCCCTATCATCAGAGGATGTAAGTATTATCATTATTAGATGATGAATTATACTATTGGATGTAACTGCTAGGTAGAATAAGTTTTCTCTCCTTGGGAGGTTACTTCTTAGCTCAGAATTTTTTAGAATTCCCCAAATGACTCATCAATCAAAAACATTTCCCAAATTCCCAAATTTCAGATTACTAACCTCCTTTTTTCTTTTCTTTTTACTTTAGATGATGAAGGTGGTTATGAAGAGACCTGCAATCAAAATGGCCATATATACTTAAACAAGGACATTTGGAAGCCTGCTCCTTGTGATATCTGTGTCTGTGACAGAGGAGCCATTCTCTGTGACAAGATAGAGTGTGAGGAAGATCTCCCTTGTGCTGATGCTGTGACTCCCCCTGGGGAGTGCTGTCCTATCTGTCCAGGGGTATCTGGAGGTGGAAACACCAATATTGGTAAGAATTCTCAGGGCCAGCTAAGCATCGGATCCATGAGTCATCTTTCTAGTTTCAATGTTCTTTGCTCTCAGGGTTCAACAATCCAAGAGAATAAAGTAATTTATACAGTAACCCTGGGGTTTATGATTTTTCTTGCCTACCTGCTTACCTTCATATTATGTAGAAGCAGACAGTAATTTCCTGTCTTTGTAAATATGCAGACGAATTCTTTTACTGAATTTTGAGTGATTATGTCCAAATTAAGAATTCCTTGTACCTCTTAAGATGGACATTTGTTACTATATCCACAATGGATGCCTCCAAGAAAGTGTTTTCTTTCTTTCTTTTTTTTTTTTTTTGGAGGTGGGAATTGAACACAGGGTGCTCAACCACTAAGCCTTTTTTAATATTTTATTTAGAGACAGGATCTTGCTAAGTTGCTTAGGGCCTTGCTAAATTGCTGAGGCTGGCTTTAACTCATGATCCTCCTGCCTCAGCCTTCTAAGAGGCTGGGATTACCAAGAGCCATGTGCCACTGCACTTGGCAAGTGTTTGGTTTTCTGCAAAATCTTTTAGTGCCCAAAAAGAGATCTAAAAAAACACATTTATCTTCCTAGGTACCAGTGTGCTTCTATAGGACATAGAATAATTATTCCTAATATAATTTAGGTGTTTGTTCAAGGTACATTGTTACTGTTGTATGATAATGAATTTTTGCCAGAGTACTTCTGTTATATTGACTCATAAATGAACCTGCTTTTTTTATGTTGCCAAGAGAATGGAATGGATTTCTAAAAGAAAAGAACAATATAAATTGCTGGTTTTAAAAACATTTTTGAAGAAAAAGTATATGTGTCTAGCAGATAGTATGTATTTGATTAACAATGCATATGTTAAGAAGATTTGCACATAAGGAAAATAAGTTCATATTTGTCTTTTCATGAACTAGGTAAGATTGATATTACATTTATCTCTTCTCCTCTTGGTTATCATTCAATAGTAACAATGTACCTCGAACAAATACCTAAATTCAGTTTTCAGCACTGTGATAAAATAAATCATAGAAGAATTTTAAAAAAGACATATATGGGCTACCTGAAGCATATACAGACTTCAAACAAGCCCATAAATGAAGTAAACCTGTGGGGTAAGTGATAAGTCCCCTCTTACTAGTGAGGATGATGGTGGGAAACATCAGAAGTCAGAAAAGATACAACTTCCTAAGAATAACTGGTCTGGAAAAGTGTAATGAGTTCTAAGATAAATGATGAAAAACTCCTGAAAACAGTTTTATATAAATAAACTATGAGTAAAAAGGAAATTGAGTTCAGTTAAATCTATGAGAACAAGAACACACTGGTAAATGTGATACCATAGACAAGCTGAAGAATGTACTTTACATATAAAGAAATTCTAGATATAAATAATTAAAATATCAATGATATTTTCCCCTGGATACATCTTCAGCCTCAGGGTGTTTTAAAAGTAGAACAAGAGGGGCTTGGGGATGTAGCTTAGCATTGGGGAAGAACTTGCTTAGAATATGTGAGGCCTTGGGTTTGATCCCCAACACTCAAATTAAAAAAAGAAAAAAAAAAACCCATAAACATAGGTCAGGAAAATAACTAACAATTTTATGCAATGGCCCTTCAATATAACAACATTCAAAATTTCTTATAATCAAATAATTGTAAATTAAAAATGTACTGAGTTATCATATTTCACATATCAGATTAACCAAAATCAGTATGTTTGCTTGCACATTACATAATGCCTGTGGGAAAATATGTGCATTGATTGTGGGAGTACAAAGTGGTCAACCTCTATGAAAGGAATATTGGTAATATATCTAATTATAAAGGCTTATACTCTTGGACTCAAAAGGGCATTAGGGAGTTTATCCTACAAATATACTTGCATGTAGCCATGTATATAACCATTATTTGTTATAGCATTATTTATAATAGAAAGACTGTCTATCCAAGCTTGCCTGTGAAAACCCCAGATTGCACCAACATTACTGGCATAGTAAATAGTAAATAATAACTCTCACCTTCACACTTCAAACTGTCCTAGTTAAGTAATAAATTATCAAAAGACTAGAAACAACACACATATCCAACATGACATATCAAGGGAATGTCAGTTTAATAGATTCTATTATGTTTACACAATGGAACCCTGAAATATTTTTGATAAAAAACAAGGAAACCATTTATTTATCTGCAGAATTCTCTAATATTTAAATAGCTATGAGATATACAAACAAGTGAAAGACAGTATTGAAAAATAGGAAGAAGAAATTTTTATATATGTGAGAAGAAACTTGAAAACAATATGCTAAAAAAGTGACTTCTAATGGAGGGCAAAAGAGAAATAGAGATGATGGAACAGATGGTTTTTCATTGTGTAACTGGACACTTTTAATACATGTTTGTGTTTAAAACATGAATGAAAAACTTTATTCATTAAATAGGCTGAAAACAATAGAGAACATTGATTATAAATAATTCCTAATAACCTTATAAAGAATTTTCTAATGCAATTAACTTTAAATGTCATATAAATGATGTGAAGAATATCAACATCATGTCAGAAAGAGGATGCATTATTTTGCTTTTGATGGAAATACTAATTCATAACAATTTTTGAGTTCTGCTTCCTGGTAATAGGACAATTTGTTTACATTAAATTGTGAGTGCACAAAAATCCTATTAAATATTTAGCATGTTCTCAACGATTGTTTCTCCACAAAATAATGTGTTTATTCTTTTCTTTTTATAGGCAGAGGAAGAAAGGTAAGTTCTACTCTGCATGTTTCTTTTTTATAAGCAGAATTCTTTCTACTACTATCCACATAGAACTGTGCTCAGAAATGGGTGAAAACCTTTTGTAAAGTACAAAGAACCATGCAAATTCATTGTGAAAAATAAATGAGCACAGTCCAGCTACTATGCTTATAGGCTACAAATGATTCTGTTATAGTTAGTTTTTGTTCTTATATCTGTTTCTGCCAGAAAGTTGTGAACTCCACAGGCACTGAGAACGTGTTTTATCAAGCTTTGTACTTCTTGTACTTATCACTTTTCTTAGTGTATGTTTTACACACATGAGAAGCCCAATACACATTTGATGGAAGAGAGGAAGGAAGAACAGGAGGACGAGAGAAAGGAAGGAATAAAGAATGTTAGTTCAACTTTGGTGGAGTTGTGGCTCCTTTTTCATGGTTTGAAAAGTTGAGAAGCTGAAAAATTTGAGAAGTTTGAAAAATTTTGAGAAGTTGAAAAAAAAATGTTTAAGAAGATGAAAAATTTACCAAAATACATAGTTTACTCTCTTCTGCCTTTGCTGCCTTCAGGGAGGTTAAACTCTAATCCTGGAGAGGAGCTTCATGGTCATGAAGACCAAGGTGGGAGACACTCATGACCCTGGTACAGCGGACCAGCATGGTTACTGGTCATCAGGACACAATCTCATCAAGTTCCTTTTCCCTTGTCTCTGCTCTTAGCTCCCTAGTTTTCTTAAAAAGTTGTGGTATTTGCTTCAGTCTTATCCAAATATGATTGCCCCCGAGATCAAGAATGTATAAATGAGCAATGACTCCAATTTTCATGGCAGATATCAGACAGATGACAAGCTGATTTACATCTTATTTACTTTTGCACAGAATGGAACTTAAAGTGCTTTATCAGATAATCAGATAAAGTAATGCTATAGCTTCATGATAAATGAGAATGATATTGTCTGGGGCATAGGCCAGACAACTTGGCACTTTTTAGTTCAGAGAGAAATACCATAAAAGTATATTACAAGTAAAGTAAATACAATTAAGTTATACTTATTTGAATATTTATCATAGAAGAGAGAATACCTATACTTACTCTATTTTATATATGAAAGCTAGAATAAATTGAAACTTAAAAGATTGACATGGGATTTAAGCAAACTAAATAGATAGATGAAAGATAGATGGAAAGATAAATGACACGTAGATAGACTGATCTATGAAACAGCAAAAAGAAAATAATAACAAAGTAAGAACTGCCTGTAATTACTAACTGTTTGGTTAGAAATTACCCAACTTACTGAGAGACATCTGGTAGGCTATGTCATCCACACCCTTCTCTAAAAGCAGTGTGGGACAGCTGGGTGAAGGATATGCTCAAAGTAGCTGTCATTCACCGTACTCACAATATGTGCCACTATTTGGCTTGCCTGATTCCATTTATCAGGTGTGATCAGAAACAGCAAAGCTGAGCAATGCTATAAAAATTCAGTGTGTTCTTGGTTTATATCCATATTGATTTTTTACTTATGATTCTTATTCACTCATTCAAGTTAATCCCAATTACCGAGCCTTTTAAAATGTCTTTTTATGAGGCAAATAATACAGATGAAGTAACAGTGGGAAGAAAAACACCGTTTCTGCCTCTGTGGTGAAGACATCCTATGACAATTATGAAATATATCTCCATGTTATTAGTTGATCAGTAAATATAATTCTCATCTGAAATCTGAGTAAACTTTTTGTTTCTCAGTGAATCTGAAAATTAAATTCTGTAAAACTTTAGACAAATCCTCATTTCAAATAAAATAATGTATTCAAAACCCATATTAATAAAAACAGTGAAAATTAATATTTATATCTTGTGGCTTATATCCAAAACAAGAAGTTCATGCAATCATTGGGAAGTTTATTATCAAAAATTGGTAATTGAGAACTTAATGTTATTATGGAACAATGGAATGCTTATGTAATATATCAAAAAGCCTACTGTTTACTTAAAACATGTATCAGAAAATTTCATAACCTAAATACAAAGCAAGAGTAAAATCTGTAATTTGCTTTTGGGTTTCTTAGAATGGAAATTTTACCACTATCTTCTCAGGCTATTCCACTTCTCTCACTTTGGTGAAATCATTTTTCTCCCCCTCTTTGTAGTTGTTTTTCTAGACTTGTTCTAGAAGGAACATTTTTTTTTTCAAAATTGTTCTCATGAAGTTCTTCATTCAGTGAATACAAATTATATGTACCCTTTCTAAGCAAACCAAAATGATTCATCATTTCAAATAAATCTCTTGCTATATATATGGAATGCCAGGATGTTAACAGTCGTTATCTCCTGGGTATTGAGGAGGATAGTTTTTACTATATATTTTCTCTACTTTCAAAAATTCCCTTTTATGAACACATATAAATTTTAATTAGACAAAAGAATAACATGTGAAAGGAAGAAATTAAACACACTAGAGCTCATTCACTACATTTTGGATGTGTAATTGTTTAATTCATATGCATGCACTCTCCCCAATTGTTCAATGAAAGAAATTATTTCATAGAGAACTTCTATGTGCCAGACTGAAAATTTAGAATAAACTAAGACAAAATACTGGCCTTCAGGAGAATAAAATCTCTTTTTTTGTGGGGAGTGGGTTATGGGAGATTGAACTCATGGGCACTCGACCATTGAGCCACATCCTCAGTCCTATTGTGTATTTTATTTAGAGACAGGGTCTCACTGAGTTGCTTAGTACCTTGCTTTTGCTGAGGATGACTTTGAACTTGTGATCCTCCTGCCTCAGTCTCCTGAGCCCCTGGGATTATAGGTGTGCTTCACTGTGCCCAGCTATAAAATCTCTTTGAAGACAACTCCTGAAATAAATAATATGACTTAATATGTGATAAAATTGAATATAAAAGTATAACTCATCCAATATTATTCGACCTGTGTGTCTGATATCATGCAATGTGTGTACAAATTTTGAAATTCTGAAGTTCTAGGAATCAAAAGAAATTCCATCTCTGTTATTTTTGCTACCTTTGTTCTGAGAGCAAATAAACTGACTTGACTTTATGTAGTTCAAGTTATGATAGTCCCATATTATTTTTATTTTCTTATTTGATTGATGTTTTCATAACTGCACTTTTGCACTTTTATTTTTATCAAGTTAGTACACTTTTTCTCTTGTTATTTTTAATATTTTTCCATGAGTTCTACAAAAGGAAAGCAAGTGGCTCAGGAGTAGCATCTCACAAGTTACTGGAAACCATACATATGTTATACACTAAGAGAGTGAAATTCAAGTATACAAACATTTCTGTATTTTCCTGTGAATCTTTAATTTTTGAGTAGTTTGTTCAATGGTCCTTTTTTTTTTTTAACATTTTTCATCACAGTTATTTCTTGCTCTCTTTGATTCTTTGGATTTGATCCTGGTAAAAACTGAAGGGAACCAACTTTATATCTTTCAAACATGTTGTATTAATTTTTTTTTCATGTCCTTCAGATGAGTAGTAATTATTTTCATGAATAATGTCTGACTAAATATCCAAAATATAGATTGTTCATTTTCTTTTCTCTTGTCATGTTTTACATTTCTTAGAAATCCAGAATGTTCGTATGGCTTATTCTGATATTACATACTCATACCCAATAAGACATTATAGTGTACTGACTGAAATTTTTCTCCCCACTTCTTAGGGTCAAAAAGGAGAACCAGGATTAGTGCCTATTGTAAGTATACGTATATACATTGTTTTCAAATATAACTATAATATAGTTGTATATAATTTATTCCTCTCAAAAAGGAAATTGTTTTATAACTAAACTTTTAGTATTACACAAGCAAGCCCAAAGAGATGAATTAATGCAATATTTAATGATCTGTATTTACCTTTTATAATTCTATGACAAAAGGTACAAAAATATAGTTTTGTACAATTCAGTATATTGCATGAAGATAGATATACATTGATAGTTAATATTAGTATTACTATAATAGTTTAATATTATTATTACTGTAGTTCCACACTTTGGGAAATATGTGATGTTTTGATCCTGATTGAAATCACATTTTATGCAATAATTCTTACCATTTCTTTACTTATTGATGATCAAAACATATATTATCAAGTAGGATAAAAGTTCTTTAATCACCATTCTTACTAATTTTAAAGGTGTTATAATATGTCAGGACATGAAATTATACACATTGATTTATTTGGCAGTGTTTGCATTTTTGCTTTTCTTTTAGATCTGATAATTCTTCACAAAGATTGCCTAAAAATAATCATTTAAATCGTTTTTGCACTTATGTGTATTTACTGTTTTTGGTTCTGAATGTTCTACAAATGTTTGTTAAAGATGCATTTAAGGAAACTTAAGTGTTGAGAAGGTAAGTAATCATTTAAAGTCAGACCAGGTGGTAAGGAGTTGTGTCAGGATTTGAATGCAGCAAATGGGTCTGGCACTGAAACTCTTAATCACTATAGCAGTACTACCTCCCTATATTGGAATTTAAATGAGATAATATCTCAACTGATAAAGCTAGGAGGAAATGGCATCAATTGATAGCATCAAGTTGTTTAAATAGAATTCATGGTGCTTTTGCCCTGTTTTAGTTATTCCTGTGACTATTGACTTTTCTGAATCTTGGTATAAAATTTATAGATTTTCTTGTTTATTGTTTAGGTAACAGGCATACGAGGTCGTCCTGGGCCTGCAGTAAGTAGTTTCCTTCTGTATTTATGATACTATTGTGCTTTCCAAGATACTGAAAATCTTTATCAACATTCAAATTATTTTTCAAAGGTAAATATGACAGATCTTGTTATACTCATCACCTCAAACAGTATTTTTAGTAATCATTAAGCTTCTGTGTCCCACAAGCTCTCATCATATATAGAAGGAATCAAGCTACAAATAATCATCATCTTTTGATGTAACAATGACAATATCCTGGTGAACAACAGTACTATTAAATGTCTTTACCGTGCAGATGCTCATCAATGTACAAGGGATTATGTCTCAATGAATGCATAATGCATATGTAGAAAATATCATAAATTGAAAATGCACTTAATACATTGGCCTACTGAACACCTCAGCTTGGTGCAGTTTGCTGTGGGATGCTGAGAGCCACGGCTGAGTCTGTATGGCCCCTGGCATTTTGCCAACAGTATTGATTGACAGGCGAGGCATTACTATCCGCCTCTGCCGCAACTTTTGAGTTCTCGCACTATTTTGGAGTTCTCTTGGGGATTTCCGGGGATTCCCCGAGAGTTCCCATTGGTTGGGGAAGTGCAGGAGGAGGGATTTCTGGGAGAGATATTTCCGGCTGGGGGTTCCTGGACAAGCCTCGTGGCGTTCAGGACGATTCCCCGGGAGCTGTGTGAAGTGTTTTCCTACAGTTTAAAAATAAAGTTTGTTCCTGCTTCAGTGGCTAGTGATTTGTGCCCAGCCAGACTGCGGCAGTGGGATATATGATGCTCCTCTTGTGATCATGTTGCTGACTGTTGCTGTCCGGGATCATCAGAGGGTATCATACCATATAGCACCAGCCCAAGAAAAGATCAAAAGTATCTTTTCATCAAGATACTGGAAATCTTTACAGATATAATATCCACGTGTAAAAAAATGATATTTGGTTTCTTGAAATGATTTGCCTTGAGCCATCTTCAAGTTTCGGCATTCCTTCTCAGTGAGGAATGATACATAGGATATAACTTAATTACAAAATTGTTGAAGTTGATGTCTTCTCATGTGTTAGTGTTGCTTATCGGTTATGCGAAAGACAAAACAATCTACTATTACATTATTAATTTTAGATTGACTTTGTTCATCAAAACCAGATGATACATGTCTATTGTTGAACCATGATCAGAGTGGACTACTTTTACCTACTTAAATCATATATTAATATTGCTGCAGAATTTGACTAATTATATATCAAAGTAACATTTTTATTTTGCATTCAAGACTATTTCCGTTTAGAGTTAACCAGGTGGATAACAACCCCCCACATATATTTTAAGTAAAATATTAGTACAACTTTAACATACCCTCTGTAATTCTTCAAAAGCTTTTGCTTCTAGACATACTGTTAAATTGGGCATGGTGGCATGCACTTATAATTTTGGATACTTTGTAGGCTGAGGCAGGAGGATAGATGGTTCAATGTAGGCATTTGGAACCAGGCTGGGCATCATAGCAAGACCCTGTCTCTCTCACAAAAAAATAAAAATACAAATTAAAAATTTTAAAATTATATATATATATATATATATACAGGTATATATATTATATGTATATATGTGCCTATATATACACATATGTATATATATGTGTGTGTGTATACACATATATATGTGTGTGTACATATAAATATATATGAAAACAAGAACAAACAATGCCATTTGGTGAACTGGGTAAATGTGGAATCTAATCTTCATAAATCTATTAAAATTATCCTTCAAAGAGAAATAAAAACCCTTGGCAATTTCATTTCCCTGAAACAAAAACAATCAACCAAAAAAAAAAACCACCTGTTTTAAGATATCAGTACAATAAGACCACTTTTGAAATACAATAGTCATTTATTATTTTAAGAGAGAGATGACAGCAATTTTGATATGGAAAATTAGAAGTAGGTCTTAAATAAACAATGGAAATGATATATTTAAAGTTAAGTGAAAGCATGATGTCAATGTATATAAAATAGTAGCAGGCTAACTGGCTGTTCTTTGTTTTGCTTTCTTCAGCAACTTGAACAGTGATGGACAATTTTGAGTATAATATACCATTTTGGATTTATAAACTCACCTAGATAATTGATAATTTTTCTAAATCTGAACTGTAACTTTCTGTGCCCAGAATTTAATGGCAAAAGCTTTACCTGGTAGATGATAGCAAAAATGAATTTTAAAAATTTGTAATTACCAATCAAGCTAATGTATTTAGCTTATTGAGCTCCCTGATGCTATAATATGGTATTAATTCTTTAAAGACCTTCAACTTCACAGCTAAGATAAACAGTCTTTCTATGTATACAGAATTTCTATAGGTACATGGCTTTGTTCGCCAGTCTTCAACCACCCTGAGTTAAAAATGTGAGGTTTCCATTTTCCAATCTCATTTAAAAAGTCTTTAAAACAAATACATTCAAAGATAAATGTTTACATACCTAATCATCATTTCTGTTTCAGGGACCTCCAGGATCCCAAGGTCCAAGAGGAGAGCGAGGCCCCAAAGGAAGACCTGTAAGTTGACAAGGAGCTTCCTTTTCGTAAAGTGTTCTAAGCAGGCCCCTATATGCCATGATCCGTGAGGATGGCAAGGGCACTGTTCTTCTGCTACATACATTAAAAATTGCAAAAAGCTCAGGTCATGAAGTGATTGCGTAGCTCTCTTAATTCAGAAGAAATTATTATGTATTAATTACTTTTTGTCTTATTAATTAATCCGAATGATATTTTTATGTCCTTTGTGATATCAAATTAAAATAAATATAATTTAAGGAAACATCGTTAAACATATCATGTTGTTTTCAGAAGTTGTCAGTCATGAACAAACAATGCTAATAACTTACTGTCAAGATAAAACATCCAAATTCTGTGATCTATAGCTGCTGTAAGAATAATGAAACTGGACAGAGGAGGAGAATTAGGAAAGAATAAAATGCACCTTCAAGTGGTTGCACATTGCTTCCCAGGTAGCACTTTGCATTTTTAATTGAGTAGCTGCTACAGGAATATCAAGGAATAATTTTAAAAATCAACAGTTCTATTACCAGAAAATGGGGATACCTTTTAAATTAAAATAATTACTTCTATACCAGTGAGATAAAACATGAGAGTATTTTATATTATTAATTTTTTCTCTCATTAGCAATCTGTACAGAATATTTATTATTCTAAGTCTTAGGAGTACAATTCTTTCTCTTTCTTATATGTTACCCCAAATATATAATGTCTTTCACAAATTGAATAACTGGATTAATTTATGTATTGCTGTTATTATCCCACATTTCCATCAGAAAAAAGTAGGTTGCTTAATTTTCTCTCTGATGGTCTCTACTAGAACTTAAATCTCAATGTGTTTCTATTCATTTAAATATGTATTTACCTGTATCTAAATGGGAGGAAATAAGCAAGGAAGCAACAGACAACTTTGAATATATGAATAAGGACAAAATTTGTATCATGTCTCTGGGCACTTTTGCTGCTGGCTTCATATTGTTACTGTTTTATGGTTCTACATGTGTCCAAGTGCAGGTGGAAGTTGCTCTGAGAACAGTGGTCATACTTCCAAAATTCCTTGTTAGTATCCAATGGGTCTACCCCTAAACCTTCTTGTTTTTCTTCTCTTCCCTCCTTAGTATATGATGTAGTTCATTTCTTTTCTTAATTAGGCCTCAGACAGTCAATGCTAATTGGGTATGAGTGTGTGTGTGTGTTTGTGTGTGTGTGCGCACGCACGTGTGTGTTGTGTATGAGTTTGTGAGTGGGAAAAGAGTGGAAAGTAGTTATTTAGGAGAAAGCAAGATAATCTTGACAGATACTCAAGCAGGGCACTTCTTCCTCTTTTAATTCTAGCAGGTAGTGTTTTGATGGCAAGGGTTTAATCATTGGTTGTCTTTAAAACTTAAAAAAAAAATTGTTTGTGACTTTTGCTGATATCCCCAGTATAAATACTCTTACTACTCTGACTGATTTCCAGCTACCAGAATATCGCAAAATACCCATAGGCAGAGTGTTTTGCTTCAGTTTTTAAATCTTCTAGGAACTGATTAACTGGACTGAAGTTATCACTGTGACAAAATAGAGTGGTATTAGCATCATAATACCCCAAATTTTAAAAATAGTATTGGGGATACAGCAGGACTCTTCTACTGAGCTACATTCCCAGCCCCTTAATTGCTAATGAGGTTGTTGGGGGAAAAGGTACACTTTTACATTGTCAGTGGGAATGCAAATTAGTATAACCACTTTGGAAAGCAGTAAAGTGATTCCTTAAAGGACTAGGAATGGATCCACCATATGACCCAACTATTCCACTCCTTGGTATTTATCTGAAAGATCTAAAATCAGCATATTATAGCAATACCTGCACTGTTTATAGCAGTGCAAGTCACAATAGCCAAATTATAGAACCAGCCTAAGCACCCATCAACAGATGAATGGATAAGCAAAAGTATAGTATGTATACAGTATGGAGTAATTTTACTCAGTCATAAAAGAATGGAATGTCATTTGTGGGAAAGTGGATGGAACTGGAGAACACCACTCAGACTCAGAAAATCATGGGTTGAATGTTTGCTCCCACATGCAAAAGCTAGAGAGAAAAAGAGGGGAAAAAAGAAGAAAACCTCATGAAAATCGAGGGGAGACTAATAGAGTTAAGGAAGGGGATGTAGACGGAAGGAGGAGGGGAGGGTGTGGGGAAGCACTGGAGACTGACATCTACCAAATTATGTTAGGTCTATGTATGCCTATTCTATGATGAACCATATAATTATAATGCGCTAAGTATGGCAATCACAATAACAGAAGAGAGATCAATTGAGTTGAGCAAGTGAATAGGGGGAGGGAGGAATAGAGAGAAAAGGAAGGTACTAGGTAATGAGAGAAATCAAACTATGTGCACATACAAATATGACACAATGAATTCCACTATTGTTTATAGTTATAATGCACCAATAAACAAGAATAGTTAGTTAAAAGGAAAAAAAAAGAATCATGAATTCCATTTTTCTCCTCCTACTTCCATTATCATCAAACAGTTTAGAAGGCTTAAGATGTGCAGCACAGTTTCTCAACCTCAACACTATTTATATTTTGGGCCAGGTAACTCCTTATTCATTGCAGGATATTTTGCAGCTTTACCCACTGGATACCAGTAGCAACCCCCAAATCCCATCAAAATGTAACAATAAAAAGTCTCTTGATGTTGCCAAATTCAGGCAAAATTGCTCTGGGTTGAGAACTACTGGTATAGAGACACTCAGATGAAGCCTTTAGCACTAACCAACCATCATCATGAGTGTCTCTCATCACAAGCCCTTAGTTTTAAGTATACTGTCTAAGTCAGTTCACAGTGAAAAACTAGTAACAAACCTATCAGGAGATACTTAACCTCATAGGTATCAGTTTCCTCATCTGTAAAATGGGAAATGTACTAACTACCAGATCAACATTCTCGTGTGTGTGTGTGTGTGTGTGTGTGTGTGTGTGTGAGAGAGAGAGAGAGAGAGAGAGAGAGAGAGAGAGAGAATGTGTGAGCATGCACATGCATATGTCTGTGTGTGGCACTATTATCCAGCAGCAAATAAAATCGATGATTCTGGGTCATTAGTATTTTTTTCTCCTTGTGAACGTTTAAAGGCCGCCACCTAGTGGCCATCTACAAGTATTTTTATTGCAGATTGCAGCCAGAGATATTAGTCTCTTGGGGGATGGGAGAAAATTATAATTAGAGCATTTACCTTCGTAAAAGAATTATGTAATTCAGTTCATTCTAAAATATAAAATGTGTTTTAATAGATTCACAACTTGTGATTTATTTGCAATATTTATCAGAACAATGCTCAATATTTTTTTTTTCTTATTCTTACATGCAATCTTTTTTATGTTCACTTTGTTTTTTTTTTTTTTTTTTTTTTTAAGAGAGAGTGAGAGAGGGAGAGAGAGAATTTTAATATTTCTTTTTTAGTATTTGGCGGACACAACATCTTTGTTTGTATGTGGTGCTGAGGATCAAACCCAGGCCGCACGCATGCCAGGCGAGCGCGCTACTGCTTGAGCCACATCCCCAGCCCTTCTTTATGTTCACTTTGGATAAATTTCACCATTAGGTTTTTATTAGCTTTTATCTCAGTTTGTATACAAATAATACATGTATACAATTTAAAGTGAATTCCATGAAGGATGGATGGGCCATCAATGAAAATGTGGGTTGTTTTCAGATGAGATTTTCAGTATCAATCATTAAAAATTAGAGAAATGCACAGCTTTTTTTGAGTACTAATATTACCCAAATTTCTGAATAGTCACATGGACACTAAATGTAATTTTACATTTTGCCTTTGGAAATGTCACTGGGAACAGAGATTATGTTTTAGGTCACTTTTTGTATATTTTAATAGCTTTTTATCATTTAGCAAGTAAATATTGCAAAAGCACAGTAATAGTCTTCCACACCAGGCTCTAGGAGTATGTCACACTCAAGAGTTGAGGATGCACATTCAAGAGTTTCCATATCCATATTGTGAAGGAGTCCTAGATAGCAATCAAAATCAGCCTCTATTATGTGTAAAGAAAAAAATGAAGTGCATTATCAGCAGCTTAGGAGTCAGAAGGATTTTATTTGTAAAGTATTAGAATAATTTTCCAAGAAATTATTTCTTAAAACGTAAAATTTTCAGACTATTTTTCAACTTCTACTTGAAAACATAAATTTGTTTGTTTATCTTACTATTCCAAGAAATAAACATGTGTATATGAATACTTGGACACATTAAAATAGCTTAAACTACTTTATAAGTAGCTATTACACCATCCTCCCCCAAGTCATCATATGGGAACTGCCTTGGCCACCATCTCAGCTTGTCCTGCACTGCCTCTGACTGCATTATCACCTCATATGTGAACTGCTCCCTGTGGGCCAGTAGCTACTCTCAGTTAAGTATGAGAAGCTTCTTTTCCTATTAAATTCTAACTTGCTTTCCATATTTTTCTCAACCCCTGCTTTTAATGATAAAAAGCACACTGTCATAACTTCTTTGCTCCTTCTTTTCCTTTTAAAGCTTGTTAAGACTCTTAAGATGACAAACCAGAAAATACTTAACAAGACTGCTGAGACTGCTGAGGTTAGGGGTGGAGCTTTTTCAGAGCTGAGGACGTGGCTGTTCCCCAAGCTGCCTTCAGAATGTGGGCTAGAAGGGTGGAATTTGGCAGCTTGAAATCATTGCTCACTTCTCTGAGGCCTGGACTTGACCCAATCATGGTGTCTTTGCCTCTGTTTTCTCATTGGTCTAGTCTACCTCTCGCAGTAGGAAGGAAAATAAAATATGCCAGAATGGAAATGCTAAAGAAAAATGACATATGAAAATGTATTTCACATGTATCGAGTGTCTACTATACACTGGAAACTATGTAAAGCATTAAACAATTAGATGGAAAAACCCACAAACTCCAATGAAGGGGCCCTTACATTTTTGAAGGGTGGAGTAGTAAAGAAGTCTAGCAGACACATACATACTTAACTGTAATCTAAGAAGAATGAATTTAGGAATTGGTGATTAAATAACCTTGAGCAATGAAACTCAACCAGATAAAAAAAAACTCATTCTAGAATACTGTTGAACTGAAAGCAATTTTATGATTATTCCAAGAAGACTGATTACTTGGGGTTTAACACATCAAGTAAAATTCTTACCCAAACGATGTCCCAGTGGATGAAACTCTGACTAGTACTGAATTCAACAGTGTTAACATAGATGATGAAATTACTCTAAATGGCTAGGTTGCCATTCGTTAAAAAAAAAAAAAATTGACATAATTGCCATCAAGGCATTTGTGGCTTTAACTTTATACTAAGTAAATATATGGCAGTGGGTTTTAATGTCCACTGGTTTGTGTTTCCAGGGTCCTCGTGGTCCTCAGGGAATTGATGGAGAGCCAGGTGTTCCTGGTCAACCTGGTGCTCCGGGACCCCCTGGACATCCATCTCACCCAGGACCTGATGGCATGAGCAGGGTGAGTCAATGTCACATTTGGATAATATATTAAATTACTAATTTATCATTATGATTTTAGATTGTGTCAGTTCAGATATTGATGATGGACCATGACAGCTATTAATTGAATATAGCATTGCTCTGAACAACATGAAATTGGGAAACTCAAAGTAGCATCTTTTAAAGTGTTGCTTCAGATTATTTTACTCAATGTAAGTTCTGGACTCTGTGAACTTTGTTGTTTCCACTGATTCTAAAGGACCACTAGCATTGTTTCCCCTATGAACTAAAGGCGGGTTCTATCTTTATCCTCTTGCTATTCTCTAGGTTAGAAGGCTGACAAAATTTGCCCCATATCCTCCACCAAGAGAGGAGACCCATCTATGATGACTTATATAAGGCTGTTGAGTTAATATTAAAAATTGTTGCCTCATTGTTTCTCAAATTTTAGTTTTTTGCCTGAAGTAAAATAAAATGTGTGTCTCTGCCTTTGAATTCTCTGAGGCCAGCATAGTGAATGAGCAGTAGACTGCACAGCGTAACAAGAGAACATATGGAGTCTGAAAACCATTTTTATTTTTTAACAATTCATACATCTGCTCTCAACTGATTGTAGAAGGGATTGCCAATTTTTTTAAACAGTACATGCAACTTTTTCCCACTAAATCTTGGAATTAATATAACTGCTAGAATATAGAGGAACAATTTTGGTCAATTTGATTGCCAGAGCTTTTTAAAATGTGAAAGACAATAGGTAAAACTGTTCCTAGTTTTTGGAATATTCTGAGGTTCACTAAAAGTATTATATATTTTTTCAAACACAAATGCAATTAAAAGTTTACTTTCTATGAACAAATAAAGTAGAATGCCATCTGCATAAAATAGTCTAAAGTGGATTCTGGCATCTTTAGGACAAATGTTTTCAAGTCCTCTTTTATTATTTGTTTGGGTATTTGGCATTCTCTAACCCACAGGAAGAAATCAGATAAAGAGGTTTAAACCTGAAATTAATTAGACTAAGTACTAACCAGCATGATCCATGATTTGTCAGGTAAGGAACGTGTGTCCTGACGTATGTGAGAGTTGCTCTGAAGCAACGCACCTATGAAATGATCTGGAGAAGAATGACAATGAAAGCACATACAGTAGAAAACAGCCTGAACCTTTTTCCATGCTGTAAAGTCAAAGTTTAAAATGATTCTTAGAAGTGTCATTCTGTAAGAATTATAGAGAGTACCTTTCTCAATTTAAAAAGAATGTCGATGTATATGTTTTACTGTGGAAATAATTTCAACACGTTGTTTTTATAGCCTTTTTCAGCTCAGATGGCAGGGTTGGATGAAAAATCTGGACTTGGGAGTCAAGTAGGATTGATGCCTGGCTCTGTGGTAAGCATACATTTTACTGATTGTCAAAGTACTTGCAGAAAAAATAAAAACAGAGGCTTGAGTTAACTACTCAAGAAGTGGTATGGGTCTTCTGAAACACATCCATCCATCCATCCATCCATCTTTCCATTTAATTATTTATCAAAGGCTACTAAATATCAGCTAAAAGCCCAGTGGTGTTCCATTCATAAACATGCAAAGCACTTGGGAAATTAATGAAGAACTGTCTGTACACTTCAACTCATGCGTGAAGAAAACAAACAGATTTTAAGACATATAACTACCACTCTCACACAACAAAATAGTTCCTTTATCATTTAAACAAAAAAAAAAAAACTGTTTTATGATGTTGTTAGAAACATGGATTTGGCACAATTTTGAAATCAGAGATATTTTGCCATTCCCATTTCTTTTATTTCCTACTTTTTTTGATATTTTTTTTTTTCTGGGTTGCTCTAATAATCTATGGTTCCCCAGCTGGGCTTTCTCATTATCTCTATTATCTTTGGAATTTGTCAACTGCACAAAGGATTCCCTTGTTTTCTGGGCAAGTACTTTAACACAGATATTTGAAGGAATGGAATGTCATTGAATGGAGTTAACACTTTTCAAACCAAATGTCCCGTACTTTTTTGATCACAACATAATTCAGACTGGTGGAATTTCAGGCAATAAGAAGTGTAAAGTGTAAAGTCAGACCTCACAGATAATCACACTGCTAGGGCCAGCATTATAGATACTTTACATGTTACTTGTATGTTTTTTAAATTGCTAGTATATATGGTGGCATTCAATGGTTATTTAGGTTTTTTTTTTCTGCTTCTATTGGTGTATGCTAATTATATAGAATGTTGCCTTTGATGGCAGTTTATTTATTTATTTATAGATACATAAAAAATATAATTTGATTAATTTCACTCCCTAAACTCTCCAACATTTTCCCCCTTCTCCGTCCCTCTGATTCCCTTCCTCTACCCTAATAGTGTCCCTCTACTTTTGTGCATTTTCTTTTCATTTCTAATGTTTTCCCCCTCTAGTTTACACATATAAGAGAAAACATATGATACTTTTCTGAGTCTGACTCAAAATCATAGACTCCAGTTTCACCCATTTTTTTGCAAGTGACATAATTTTGTTCTTCTCTGTGGTTGATTAGAATTCCATTGTGTAGATACACCACATTTTCTTTGTCCATTCATCTGTTGGTGGACACCTAGTTGGTTCCATAATCTGGCTATTGTGAATTGTGTTGCTGCTACTAAACATGGAAATATTTGTATCTAAATTACGCTGGTTAATGTTTTGGGATCATACTGACAAATGGTAGAGCTAGGTCATACAATAGGTCTACTTTTTGCTTTTTGGGGAGCCTTTCTACAGATTTCCGTAGTGGCTGAACTGATTTACATTCCCACCAACGTGGTACAAGACTTGCCTTTCCCTTCTGCATCCTTACCAGCATTTATTGTTCTTTGTATTCTTGGTGATTTTTTTTCCATTTTGCCATTCTAACTGAAGTGAGATGAAATTTCAATGTAGTTTTAATTTGCATTCTGCTGGTGGCTAAAGATGTTGAACATTTTTTTTCATATAATTGTTGGCCATTTTTCTTTTTTCTTTTGAGAAGTGTCTGTTCAGTTCATTTGTCCATTTAGTGATTGGGTTATTTGTTTTCTTGATGTTGACCTTTTGAGTATTTTTAATATATATTCTGTGAGAAGATGAGCTAACAAAGGTTTGCTCCCATTCTGTAGTTGCTTCTTCATTCTGTAATTGTTTCCTTTGTTGTACAGGTTTTTAAACTTCCTGCTGTCCCATTTATTAATTCTTTCTCTTATTTCCTAAGTTATATGGGCCTTCCTATTTGGGAAGTCTTTGCCTGAGCCTGTATGTTGAAGTGTTCCCCCCTTTTTTTCTTCTAACAGTTTTAAAGTTTCAGGTTTTATAGTTAGGTCTTTGATTCATTTGGAGCTGACTTTTGTACAGTGTGAAAGAAATCTAGTTCCATTATTCTACTTTTGGATATCCAGATTTTTCAGCATCACTTGTTAAAGAGGTTCTCTTTTTTAGAACATGTTATTGGCACCTTTTTGAAGAATGACTATAGCTGTGTTCCTCTGTCTTCTATTCTGTTCCATTGGCCTATGTGTCTTTTTATGCCAGTACCATGCTGTTTTTATTTCTAAGGCTCTGTGGTATACTTTGATGTGAAATATTGTGATGCCTCTATATTTGTTCTTTTTGCTCAGGATTGCTTTGGCTGTCCCAATCATTTGTTCTTTCATGTGCATTTTAAGATTGTTTTTATTTGTTCTGTGAAGAATCTACTCGTAACTTATAGAGATTGCTTTGAACTTGTAGATCACTTTTGGCAATACAGTCATTTTAACATTAAATCTGTCTATCAGTGAACATGGAGCCATTTCTTTGTGTCTTTTTACCATCTTCTGGTGTTCTTTTCAATTTCTTTTTTCAGCATTTTGTGATTTTCCTTGTAGAGGTTTTTACCTCTTTGGTTAGATATATTCTTAAATATTTTAATTTTTTGTAGCTATTGTGAATGGAATTATCTTCCTCATTTCTTTTCCCAATATGTATGAATTTTTATCTTTGGAAGTTTAAATTACATATGTGTTTATTTTTTAAAGGGGCTTTTATTTTATTACTAGCTAAAATGTTTGATCAATGCAAAGTGAAATTTCAGTTTTTTGGCCACAAGAACAAATTTGATTTTAGTTGAATCAATTTGACTTTATAAAGTCTGGCATTTTAAAAATTGTATAGTCTTATACAGTTTTAAATTTTCTTAAATTGTACTTTCCTTTCCTTTGCTGTGCCTCAATGTAATAATTTTATTTTAAATGAGAGAAACCTATACTGATCCTTTCAATGTATGTTGTGAAGGAAAGAAATAATCCAGAAATCTCAGTTCCCTGAAAAATTTTAAACTGATATTGAAAATAATGTTATCAATATTGTTGACCTGATAAACTTTTATTTGACTTGTTCATTTACATCATAAGAATTATTTTCTGTGAAGTTGAAGGACTAAACAGGCAGTTTGAAAACTGCCTGCTAAGCTTTTTCTCTTCAGATGTTCTGGTTTATACATTCTTGTCCTGAAGACACTGGGTGCAGGCATAATGCTTATTTCTCTTTATGACACTGAGGGTGTATATGAAATCATCCCAAGTGTTGTTCAAGCTTTAATCTCCCTGAATTTGTCTGCCTTCCAGATGAGGGCAGATAGATAATGTCATCATTCCCCTGTCAAAGATTCACTTTTCCAGATTCTAAAAGCCAAGCCAACATTTAAAAAATATTAATCATTATGAATAATACTATACAACTTTTCTTCTCATTTGTTTTTAAGGGTCCTGTTGGCCCAAGGGGACCTCAAGGTTTACAAGGACAGCAAGTAAGTCTTTTTCTAATTAAATTGTATACTACAGTAAAGAAATATGTGAAAGCAAGCTCTATGTGAGATGACTATTTTGGGCAGGCCTTTACATTGCATAATTATAATGATCACTTTGGGATCTACCAAATAATTTTCACTCACTTAAAATATATGCAGTAGTTTTTCAAAGTTTCTTCATTGTACTAAATTTTTATCATCTGATTTCTTTATGTGACTCCCCTCAAATACCAGAAATTGTGTGTCTTTGCCCCTGAGATAACAAATCATTTTCTCAGTTTGTGATGAAAATTTTCATAATTGATTATGTACCATCTCAAGTCTGTGAAAACAGATTATATCATGGCATTACCATGTGATATTATTATAAATAAAAGTCAGGGTGATCATTCTATAGAATATTTAAAACGAACATAGTACTATGTGTTTTCTTTCTATGCCTAGCAAATAGCAGTAAAACTGTGATGTAGAGCTATTTTATTTGTTGTAATGATTTAACAAGAATTAGGAAGTGTTTTCTTTTCTTTTATTTTTTGGGGAGCATGGGATTGAACCTAGAGGTGGGCTATCACTGAACTATATCCCCAGTCTGCTTTACTTTTTATTTTGAGACAAGGTTGGACTAAGTTGCCTGACTGGCCTTGAACGCATGTGACACTGTACCCATCAGGAAAAGATTTCTGAAAAGAAAGAAAGGAAAAATCTTTAGCTCAGTCTAGGTTAGCTGATCCTATGCTCGCACTGTTCAAGGTCATTAACCTGCATTAATGATCTAAACAGCCTAATGGAGTAGGTTCTATTGCTATTCTCATTTTGCAAATTAGGAAATTGAGTTATAGATAGATAAGTGACTTGCCCAAAAGAGTATGAAAATGAAAAGTGCCAGCCATCTGAACAGCCACATAGAGATTTGGTGTTCTATTTTCCTTTGGTTTGTATTTAATCATTTTTTCCTCTCAATTTTAGGGTGGTGTAGGACCAACAGGACCTCCTGGTGAACCTGGTGAACCTGGACCAATGGTAAATGTCAAGTAAGCCTGTATACTCAGTTACATGCTGGTTCACCCTGATAATGATGTAGTTATTTATTTTTCCAGGTCCTCTCTAAAGTAGTAAAAAATGAAAATTTAGTTTGAGAGAACTTTATCATGGACTGTAGATAAACCATATGTTTCTTATGGTGGAGTATTTAAATTCAAAGGGATATGTATAGTAGACAGTTACCGAGATATGTGTATTTGTGCAATAAACCTTTGAGCACATGATCTGAAGGATACAAGATAAAAGCTAAAATTGTAATAAAACTATTTTCTCTGATATATTTTTATTGTTTCAACAAATTTTAGATTATATTATTGGCAGGAAGGGGTAAATATTCTTTTTTTCCTCCTTTCTGTTTTGCTTTGTCATTAGGGTCCAATTGGTGCTCGGGGACCAGAAGGCCCTCCTGGCAAGCCTGGTGAAGATGTAAGCTTTTGTTTTTCATTTTGCTTTAAAGTTCTAAAGAGACTAAGAAGGAGCTAGCATGTTAACAAGAGTGCTCTGCAATAATTAATTTTATTTTCCCAATAGTTTTATCCTCCATTATATTCAATCTAACTTGAGAACTCAGAATAAACTTTTACAAAAATGTAAAAGAGTTCTTTAAGTTTGATAGTATAATATTATTAGGTACTGTCTGTCTCCTATATTGCTCAGGATTTCCATTTAGATTTGTCTATGAGATATTATGAAGTCTTAATTAAGTGAAATTTTCAAATTATGTTAATAGTAGAGTGCCAATATGGCTCCTAAAAGCTTAAAAAGTAATTTCTTGAATTGGAATTTTAATTAAAGGCAATTTAACTATAAATTGTAACATTAATAGTATGTGATCAATGAAGATCGTGCAACAACAAATTTGATTTGCAAGATTCTTTTCTTAGTTGTAATAAAGATGAGGATAAGATTAGGGCAGGCCATTAATTTCTATTTGACACAAAATTAAGTAAGTATAGTATTTTCTCTTTGTGAACTGTGACATCCATTTAAGCAGATTACCTTGAATTTGGCCACAAAGAAAACATCTCTGGTAATTCCTTTTTGTCACAATGAAAGAAATGGTTAATAGTATTTGAAGAAGCAATGCTTTAATTCGGTGAGGTATGGTCATGCATGTAGTAACTGATGTTCATAAAATTGTGAGTTAGAACAGACTATGATAATTCATCTTCATTTCTTCTGTAAATTAATGAAAGTTCTACAAAATCAATTGTAGAATGACTTGCTATCAGAAATAGAGCCTAGATTTCCTTTTTTTTTCCCTGCTGAGAGCATGAACTTTCTAAAGAAGACTTTTTATCTGCAATTTAATTTGTCATCTAGTCTCAGAGAACATTTTAATCCCTTTACAACTCCCCCATATCTTGCTTTTTTTTTTTCATCCATAAAGGGTGAACCTGGTAGAAATGGAAATACTGGTGAAGTGGGATTTACAGGATCACCGGTAAGTTCACACTTATCAATATAGAGACATACAGATAAACTTGAAAACATAAGGAACATTGGCTTGCAATTCATTGTATGCATATGCATTAGACCCTAAGTAAATGCAGACAATCTAGCAATGTTCTTTTCTGTCTAAATGTAAAATGTCATAGGACATTTAGCCAGAATTACAACTAATTCCAATCCCCAGCTTTGCATGGGAGCCATATGAATAACTCTCCTGGAGCCAGAAAATTATGTCATAACCTCACATGGATACTCTCCAAACTGAATATCAAATTTTCAGAAAAAGAGAACTTTTTTTCCCCCCCAGAGGAATCTGGCTTGACCTAATTACAGTTATGATACTTGAATCCTGTTTATCTTTTAAAATCTTTTCATTTTATATTAGCCCATATGTCTAAAAGAATAGCCTGAAAAAGTTTAGTGACTGTTTTTTTTTTTTTTTTTTTTTTTTTTTTTTTTTTTTAATTGGCTAGGGCAATAAATCATGGACAGGATATTTCCTTGGCTGCTCCCCAAATCCTAATGTTGGCTGAAATTCTTGATTAATATTCTGGACCCTGAAATCTCATGACAAGTTGATATACAATTGCCAGACCTCCTAACAAAGTTCTTTTCTTGTCCCTTGACTCATCTAAGTGGCCAGTCCATGACAATTCACTCCACCAGATTTCAGGACATGGGCTACTAGAACATTATCTGAACCCACTTGTCTGTCCTCCCTCATATTGCTTTGCTAGCTCCTCCTGAGCTACACAGGAAAGAGGAAAATCACAGAATGATAAGAAAGCAAAAATCCTCCTTGAACATCCTTCTTGTGGGTTTTCCCCACCCAACATCCCCTAAACAGATCCTGTCAGCTATATACTATCTTTTCTATAATTTGCTAATGTTTCTATCACTCAGTGCAACTAACAGTGCTGCATTACTCTGTTACTGTTTATTTTCTTGATGAAGTTTAATGCTATGATTTTATTTAAAAAAATGCTGATCTTTAACAGAAATTTACAGGACTCTAAGGATTATTTCGTTTCAAATATGCAATCAATCCCCCACCTCCCTGTTGTTTTTCCTTTGCCCCTCCATCTGCCCAGGAAGTAAATGCAGACAAAGGCATGAGATTTAGTCATTAGCACAGATGTCCTTTTCCGCTATCCCAGGCTTGACCCTCCTGTGGCCTGCTGCACTCTTGCACACACTCACAGCATGGACCCTCTGTGAGGAAGAAAGGTACCCTGCCAGCACACCACAGATGCACTCTGCAAGCTCAGTGCAACAACGTGTGACTGGCTGTGATGACAGGCCTGCGTCAGCAGAATGAGAATTCTTTATGAGAATTTACTACATCTGGTCCACTTTCTTGTTATATTTGGGATATGTAATCACATGAGGATTTTCCTCAGACCATAAAAATTGAAGTGAACTAATTGTTTGAAATAACATTGCTTAGTAATTCTCTTCTGGGCTCAAATGGCTGCGCACTGAGTTGCTTGTTCCCCATGGAAGGGAGGCAAATCTTGGTAAAAGGGAGGATTCTAATAAAAAAAAAAAAACTTAAAGGGAGTTCTTGATGTGAAAGAATTCCTAAGCAGGGTTGTGTAAACAGAAGAATTAGTGAGACTTCATTTGTTCAGAGAGCATGATTTGATGCACCCTTACTGTGATATCCTCCAAATACTAAAGAAATATTTTCACTGAAAGATGTCACAGAGGAATTATTGCTTTGATCTTATCATGTGAATTTCATTTACTGAGTTGCTTATTTATTCACTTAATAATAGTGAACGAAGGAAGCCTATGGTGTAAAGAGCTGAAGGATTTACTACATGTGGAAAACTGTGCTAAAACGAGAAATTCCTTAGGAAAGGTTTAGGTAAAGTGCTATGAGAATTTGAAATATTAAACCACTTCTCCAGTTGTTTATTCAATGATTATCCCAACTAACCAGGCATGAGGCTGGAATATGAAGATTAATAATAATAATAATAGAAAATTAAAACTAATCTCATCAATTAATGCAATCAAGATGCAAATGTGCTGATGGCAGTGGTAATGGCAAGTCAATGCAAAACCAAATTAATGTAGACAATAAGAACAAGTTGAAAAGTCTCTGGGTCATTATCAATTTTAAGAGAGAATGAGGAAAATGTTTTAAGCATCATTTCAAAATAGTCCTATCATTGGATTTGATTTTCTGTTGTATTTCTATTGTTTTTTAAATTTAATGTGCTTTAATTGAGTATTCATAGAGTTAGTAGAAATTTATAAATTATTACATAAAGAAACCAAACCATTCTCACATTTCCTGATCTTTCTTTTTGTTGAATATTTCATTTCCTTGTTTAGTTTTTAAACAATCATAAATCCACAAAGCTTACAGGGAATACTTCACTTAAAAATTCCTAATCACACTATAATACCATATTTCCTATCATATTCTGCTGGCAATGTTCACAAATTCAGAGAAAATTTAAAGAAAACATTGACTAACTATAAATGCATTTGTTTATCTATTACATATAAAACACAACATAAAAAAGGAAAAGCATATTTTCCCTTAAGTTTCTCTCCTGATTTTTTTCCTTATTCTTTTGCCTAGTCAATTCAGACATTAAACAGGTTGGTTCATTTGTATTTTCTTCTTCTTGTTGTTCTTTTATCTTGCTACTACTTGCAATATAGTGATATCATTTGAAACTTTGAAAATGTTATCAAATCAATACTTGGCATTACTCCATGTCTGTGTAAGCCATGTTTCCATTTCTAACAGTGCATTTGCTGTGATAATTTTTGATCACCTAGATATATATTGACAGATAAAATATACTGGTCTTTTCTTTTTGGTTTAGTGTGTCAGTGAAAACTGTGATTCAGATTTTTGTTTTTCTGGAAAAAAAGTATATTAAACAATTTCCTATTTGTACTAATGATGCTGAAATACCTTATCTATTTTTCCCCAGGGAGCACGAGGCTTTCCTGGGGCTCCTGGTCTTCCAGGCCTTAAGGGTCACCGAGTAAGTTCAATCTGAATTCTCTGAAACTGTGGGTTATGAGTAGGATGTGGGGAACACTGTCTTCTAAATCTGTGCAAATCCCTTTGTCAATTTTTTTTAAACTAGCCATGATTGCAGCATTCATCTGCAGTTACTGAAATCACAATTCTTTTTTACATTTCCTTCAAATTTCATTTGATTCTAAAAAGAAATGTCATTTGTGTTCTTACTGTGTACCTGGTACTGTGATACCAAAGAGCATACAGTGATAAATGAGAAAAGTCTCTGGCTTGCAGCTTTAGCTCATAAGAGGTATAGTTAAGAAAATAAGCAATTACTATATAATGGAATAAGTGACAAGATTCAAGTAGAGAAGCCAGCCAACCCAGATTTGGAAGGCAGTAGAATGCTTCTTTTATAACTCAAAAGAATTAACGTGTAACTATTATATGTTGTATACACATATATAATCTATCTAGCTATTTATCTATCTGAAAGGGAAGATAATATTCAATCACTGTACACTGACTAGTCTCTGTTTTGAGTAGCTGAGCTTCTAATTAAAATGTTTGATGTTGCTGGTCTGGTTATTAAGCACAGTTGTACCTCTACATCCCCTGGAGATCAATTCCAGCCACCCCCTACCATCTGTGCCCCCCCCCCCCACGCACACACATGATACCCAAATCCATAGAGGCTCAAACCCTTTATATACAGTGGCAGAGTGTTTTCATATAACCTATACCGTGCTCCCATATACTTTACCTCTAGATTACCTAAAATACCTAAATAATCCAATGCAATATAAATGCTATGTAAATAGTTGTTGCATTTTATTGGTTAGAAAAAATGATAAGGAAAACATCTATATGTTTTTAGTACATTTGCAACCATTGATTGTAGGGCTAACTGCAGAGTACATGTCATTAATAAGAGAACTTGGTTTTCCTTTGAATTTTTATTCTATTTTTTTTTTTTTTAATTTTTGGTACCAGGGAAGGAACTCAGGGGCAGTTGACCACTGAGCCACATCCCCAACCCTATTTTGTATTTTGTTTAGAGACAGGGTCTCACTGAGTTGCTTAGTGCCTCTGTTTTGCTGAGGCTGGGCTGGCTTTGAACTCAGGATCCTCCTGACTCAGTCTCCTGAGCTGATGGGATTACAGGTGTGCACCACTGCACCTGGCTGAAAATTTTTGATCCCTGGTTGTTTGAATCCATGAATGTAGAATCCGTGTATACAGAAGATCAATTGTATTTTGCATATCACTTCTGAATATAACTCATATTTTGTAACTATGAACTCTATAATTCTGTGTGTCCTCTAAGCCCATATAAATTTTTATTTGTAGCTATAGATTAAATTTTTACAAAGTCATGAATGTTTGGCAATTGATAACACTAAATGTTGAAAATATTTTTTAAATAATAAAACCCTACTTCAATTTTCTCTGAGTAAACTTTCAAAAAAGGTTGAGAATTTGAAGATATTTTGAGCAATAACTTAAAATTTGAAATTGTTTTCATTAGGCAGTTTCTTTTTGTGTGTGTGTGGGGGGGTAACCAGGGATTGAACCCAAGGGCACTTAGCCACTGAACCACATCCTCAGCCGTTTTTATTTTTTATTTTGAGATGGAGTCCCGCTAAACTGCTGAGGCTAGCTTTGAACTTGCAATTCTCCTGCTTCAGCCTCCTGAGCCCCTGGGATTCATAAGTCACTTTTTATTTTTTATGCTTCTTCTAAGTATTAAAAATTGAAAACAAAACCCAGCATAAATATATATACATATATATTTATATTTTTATTCTCAGGGACACAAAGGTCTTGAAGGCCCTAAAGGTGAAGTTGGAGCAACTGGTGCTAAGGTAATTGTACAAAACCAAAGTTTACCAGGACTACAGTACTTCAGTCCTACTTTGAGTACCTATGTATTTTTCAGAACCCCGTCAACTAATTCTTCAAGCAAAAGGGGGTATAAATAAATGAATGGTTAGGTAAATAACATGTGTTCTGTTGTTTACTACCCTTTTAATTCTAGGGCCATATAGCCTTGCTTATTCCAAAAATTTATTTCCATAGGGAGGGAAAATATCAAGAAAGTACTGAGGGATTTTTATTGTGAGGCATCATGAGATACATATATGAGAAAGCATCTGGTTTAAAGTTTATATTTCTAAATTTTCTATAATACATCTTCAGAGAATATTAGTTAATTTTATAAAATTATGCTTGAGACATACCAGAGATTGACATGTAGTTACTTTATTAGTAGGTGTGATAGTTTCCATCTTTCTTGTTTAAATCCCCAATTTTATCTTAGACTTACTTCTGTGAAATCAAAATTTCACCTAATTTTATGGAAAAGCAATAATATAAACTTTTGAGATCCTTCATTGAAAGATTATAAAATATGTTCTGAAAATAAATGTCCTCTTTAAAATTTTTATATATGGACTAACATAATGTTATTGTTGACTTAGTTTTCTCATATTGTGCAATCTCAATTTTGCTTCAGGGTGAAGCTGGCCCTACTGGTCCAATGGGTGCCATGGGACCTCTGGTATGTATCAGTTTTGTTATTTTTTCTTTTCAAGGTTACATTAAGAAAATGTTTAAGAGAAAAATAAAAACACATGAAGAATGTACATTAGTCAGTGAAATACTGCTGACAGACGAGCAAGAAAAAGAAAAAAGAAAAAAAAGAAAAAGAAAAGAAATTGGGCCCTTCGGAAGGAAAAAAGGCCCTTTCTGATTTCACCTTTTTCTTGAGTGTTAAATGACCTTATATTTTTCTAATCACAATGATCAAATCAGTATTTGATCAAATCAGTATTTGACCAAGTACTATACTTGGCCAAACAGTATGTACTTGGCCTCTTAAAGCTAAGTTAAATAAAATCTATTTATATAAGAGGTGGTGGGGTAGGTGTCTCCACAGGTAGTTGTCACACTCCTGAAAACATTGCTATTTGGCAACTAATTATATTAAATCTCAATTGGATGGAATAGGTAGTTCAATCAGCCTAGAATTCAATTTAGACTCTTTAAGAGATGTTTTCTCTGTCTCATCTATAGGGTCCAAGAGGAATGCCAGGAGAAAGAGGGAGACTTGGGCCCCAGGGTGCTCCTGTAAGTATACCTGCTTTTATCTGTACTGCTGAGATGTGCATTTCAACCCTTTTTTTTGGGTTTGCTTCCCTGAATTTGTCTTTTAAATGAGAAATCACAGTAGATCATCTGCTTTTTTTCTTTCTTTTTATTTTGGAATAATTTTTAAAAATATTTGGAATAAACTCCAAGTTTGAATATTAGTCTCCATAGCCTGACATTCCAAGAATTGTGAAGAAAACTGATAGAACGTTCACCCCATACCAAGGTTCAATCACCATCATCCTTACAATATCTTTTTCCAATAAAAGTGCTCAACACCACCCATGAAATTCCATCAAATTTATGGTTGCTTTTTCTTCTAAACCTTCTCAGGTGCCTGAGATATTACATCTTTAGTCTATTCCCTTACACTTCAGTACTATTTCAGTTCACTCTTGGAGAAAATATATTCTACTGTGCTCCCACAGTGCGCCAAGATTGATTCCAGCTCTATTTATCACCAGCTGTTCACTGGGGAATCCAGCTTAAAAAATTTAATTTAGAGTCAGCTTTATTTTACCACTTCTGTCTGGCTTTAGAGTGTTAGGTCAAGTTTCCTATGAAGCAGCTTCAAAGTAGTCAATTGTAGACAGGAAATTCACTGGGGATTGCTCTTAGAATTAATACTTGTGGATGATTAAATAAAAGAATAACGGTTTGTGAGAGGGAGAAATTGAATTGTGTTGCAATTGCAACAGAGACCTTGGTAATCTCAGGGGAATTATGGAGCTCTTCAGACTTGTCTTGAATGGAAGTCAATTGTTTGTACCCTTATATTGACCAAAGAAAGGGCAAAATTTTGAGAGAGACTCCCTTTACTGAGGACTGTTCTTGGGAAGAGTAACCATGAACCAACCTTCAATACTTTTAGCTGATGGAATTGTACTTCAGACCTGAAGGGGATCTGGGTGAAGACCAGACTCCATTATAAATTAATTTGTGTGTGTACACATGTTGTTTCTAAGTTGTTGTTTTTGTAAGGAGGACATTCCTTCCTTAAGTTAATCTGTCTGTTAAAAAGAATAGAAGTTGAAATTCTCATTGTTCCTAAGTTTATATGATAGAATGGGATATATTAAAGTAAAAAGAATAAATTTTATTCAGTATCATTTTTTCTTAGTTTTGATTTTCATTTCTTATTGCTGTAAGAATAGGTATTTTTATTACCACCTTATCAGCTTTTCGTAGTTGGTTATTTTTATTAATACTCACCCAGAGACAGTTGTTATCTGTTAACTTTAATATTTATTCTTCAACTTTTAACATTTTGAAATTGTTTACAAAGCAAATGAATTATGATAAAATACTTTAAAATGTAACCTTATATGAGAAGTGGAAAAAATTAAAAATTACTATAAGTAAAAAAAAAGTGTAATCTTACCTTGCCTTTTTATTTTAATTAGGGACAACGAGGTGCACATGGTATGCCTGGGAAACCTGGGCCAATGGTGAGTAGTTGTACTTTCATATTCATTCATTCATTCATTCTTTGTCTATCAATTATTCTGCTTATACATTTAAACATTAACAGAATATTCACTATTCCACATACTTAGAATAAAAGATGAAAAACACACAATTCTTGTTCTTGAAAACTGGATATATTAATAAATATAATTGCATAATACTATTGCTAACTGCTTATAATAAAGAATACACATGAAGTATAGGAGATAGTGGAGGAATTACCTAAACATACAGTAAAAGAAGAAAGTAAAGGAAGACTTAAAAGCAGTTTTCAAGCAAAGTCTTGAAAAATGAGTACATAAAACAGACAAGAATACAGTTCATTCCAAACAACAGATAGATGAAAAAACATGGTGAGCTCAGGAAAATGCTGAGAGGGTAAAATTAGAGTGAGAGGTAGGAGCTAGATCATGAAAGGCTACGTTTACTCTATTAAAGAGTTTTTGAAGTCTGTCTTAAAGTAGTTACTGAGAGATCATTGCAGAATCTTAAACACAGGGGTGTCATGACCTGAAAGATCACCTGCTGGTAATGTCAGAGATGACAGGGCGAAGGCTGAGATGAAAGTCTGAGTTGAATATCACAAATGCAATCCTAGAGAGAAATGATAAAGATATAGACTAAACCTATTACAGTGGTAATGGAGGCAGGCTGCATATCTGAGCTAAAACATCTAAATGCCACAGCTTATTGGTTTTCTGGTTTAAGGAATTTTGTACGATTTATCTGAGACTTGAAATACAGGAAGAGCAACAGGATACAGCTTGTGGGTTTTGGTTTAGGATGAAAAGAAATTAGTTTAATTTTGTGATTGGATATGCAAGAGTGGAACTCAGGGTAGAGATGTGAATTGCAAATATAGATTTGGGAATTTTTAACATATAGGTAATAAGTAAAGCCATGAGAGTAAAAGTATAACATGGAATGAGAAATGAAAAGATTTCAGGGAATGCTAATATTTCACACAGAGTGTTTTTTATGCTCAGTATTGATAATGCTATTGCATTTTGCTTTAGATAGTCTTGCACTATTTCATAGGTGCCCTTTGAAATTATGAACCTTTAACTCACAGTTAAAGATGAAAATTTGAGCATTTATTTAACTATGGTTAGTAAAATATAAACAAAAGCAAAATTTGTAATTTCACAAATTTCTAGCATATTACTCATTTTTAATATTCCTTTCCTTACTTGTAATGTATAGATAGCCTCAGTTGCTACTCATTATCTGCTGGGGTTCCCAGAATCATGAAGGGTCTCAAGAGACTTATGGATATAATAGATTGTAGTAGTAGTAGTAGTGGATCTAAGTCTCTCCTTTTATTTTGTTAAGGGAATTTAAATTATAATTTTACAGGAAAAACCAAACTAAATTAATATTTTCAGATAGCCTAAAAATATAAAGTTCTTTTCTGAACCATAGAACAATTGATTCATACATGTATTTTCCCCACCAAATAACATAACTTTAATAGTGGTGGGGATGGGGGAAGGAGAGAGGGGAAGAAAGGGTGGATGATAGGGAGTAGAAATGATCAAAATCTGTCATATGCAGGTATGACTATGGCATAATGAAATCCACTATTCTGTGTAATTAACATGCACTAATACAAAGTAAAAAAAAATTAGAAATGTTTAAAAATGTAAGCTATTCAAAACAAATTAGAAAATAGTGGTGCAAATTGTACAATTTTATCTTCTTGAAACAGCAAAAGTTGAGTCAAGTTCCACAAGTTAACTTGTACTAATACAACTCCATAAAAAGAAAATTAGAGAGAGAAAGTGTGTGTGTATGTTGAGGTGGGGATGGAGATGGGGAAGGTGTTTCTGCTCAACATGAGCCAATACTGAAAGATGTTCAAAGAGAAAATTTGTAAAGTTTTTAGTTTTTCCATATGCCAAAAGGACAACAGAATTCTACTATTCTGTAAGTATACTTTGAAAGGGATTTCATTAATTCAACATTGATGGAATTAAAATGCAGTCCTCAAGAAGAACCAAGATAATGTAGAATAGAATTCTTCTGATTTTCTTTAGATTTAGCTTTTAAATCAATGGTTTAAACTCTATGCATGTAGGATAGTGATAAATATCCACTTATTATTGCTCTGAAAAATCCTTCTAAAATATCCAAGTTGTTTTTAAGCATCAATTTTATAGAGTGACATGCTAGATTTTGGTACAAATTATAACTTTCTAAAAACTATTTTTGCTACTTAGTTTCTAACACAGAGAAAGTGAATCTCAAGAGGCATTTGTTCAGAATTATTTGTGACTGAGACTGACTTAAACTTATGTGGTACAATAAGGAAATACAGTTATCATATTTAATACTTTTGGTTTGTCTCCTAGAATTATTTTTGATCAGTGTTAGAAGATACTTATAATAAAACTACATTATTATATTTGTGGTTTGAAAGCACAAAACAGATTATTCCTATATTATGTGTTAAAATAAAGATTGTTGTGCTCGCTTCGGCAGCACATATACTAAAAATTAAAATAAAGATTGTTATCAGATAATGAAAAAAATGACCTAATTCAGTATTAGAGACATAGTTGATAAGTTTTATGGTTTCTTTTAATAGGGTCCTCTTGGAATACCTGGCTCTTCTGGTTTTCCAGGAAATCCTGGAATGAAGGTAAGATAATTGATATGTTTAACTCTATTTGAGTCCCAAATTAAAGAATAATATTGCATTAACTGAAGAGTATGGAAGTCCTTCTTAATTAAGTGAAGAGCCTAGAGTAGTATGTTAATTGTCCATTAATGATAGGAAAATAAAGAGAATTTTAAAATGAAAGTAACTCTATAAAATGTAACAAAGAATAATTACTTATAACCATACAATTACAATATCAAAGAATCTATCATTTCAGGGATCTAGCATAACAGGTATAAGGAATAAGAAAGAGTTTTGAACTGAATTAGAATTCAGTTCTTGGATAGAGTGCCAGGGAGTCATAAACAGAAGAATGCTCTGCACAATAGAAAGTTAAAATAAGTCAGACCTTGTTAGAAAAGGCTGTTCTTTCACATGATGCCAGCCATCACCCTGCCACCCCACTTGCAGCCATTGAAGGCGTGGGCAGGGAGGATATTTGGCTCTCAGTGTGGGAATGGATTAAAATATTTTGCTGGGATGACTTACATTCATAGTGAGTCACAATTGCAGTATTTTGGGAGAAATGTAAGGAATACAGTAGGAGGGTGTAAGCTCAAATCAAACTTGATCCTTGGCATAAGTGACTTCATTTTGGGATCTCACTCCATCTTGTCTGTAGAAGGTGATGCTCCTTCTCCTTTTGTGTTATCTTCCAGGTCAGCAATTCAGTTACCTGAAAGCTAGTCAGAGAAAAGTCACAAGTGCTCTCTCTATCTGGGGACCTAGAAAGTCCCCAGGAACTTTTCTGGCTCAGGCAAGAGCCAAAACTGTGGGGAAAAATACACGAATAAAAGCAAACTGACTCTGTTCTGTTGTTAGACCTGTTGGTAAGCCCCCTGTCCTCACCACTTGGGGCTGATGCTGCCTGTGGTGTCTGGCCCCTTTCCTGCCTTGGAAAGTGAATAATCATCTTTGCTTTGTGCTTGGACTCTGAAATCCTTCTCAACTCACAGACCTGTTACCATTTGGTTAGACCTAGCAGAGGGTATTAAGATTATATTAGCTGAGTTAGTGAATAAATTCAGAACAGTATTTTCAAATTTTAAGCAACACATTTGATTGCCCCTCACCCTAAGAAATCATGGCAAAGACTTTCATCTTGAAGAATGGATTTACTTACAAGATTTATTTAGTCTTACAAAAACGACAATGGCAAATGCAGGTAACTAGCCCCCTTTAAGCCTTGCTTTTCTCATGGAATTTTGCCTAGAATTGAGATAATCTCTATATTTTTACCATATTGGACCCTCCCCAATATAGTGTCATGTCACTTATTAATAGTGCATAGTGCTATTTAAATGGGATTTCAAGTTAGAACAAAAAGACCTGAAATTTCAAACACTAATTGAAATACCAGAATCATCAGGTCAAATGATTCTGCAGGCTCTCTCCAATGCTCTCTCTAAACTCTGTGCCACCGGGATGGAGCTGCCTTCAGATATTATACTAAGTCATTTCACTATCATTTCTGCTTTCCTTGGGCAACTTTTTGTGCCCCTGTGACTCTGATTTTCTTCCTGATGTCTAAATGTTTTCATTTTGTGTTTCTGGGGCTAATATGCAGGGCAACACACATGCTAAGCATGAGCTCTACTACTGAGCTCTTTCCAGCCCTGAAATCTATATCTTAATACAATTTAAAACATCCCAAATTCCTTCATTCTTCATATGAGACCCTCCACCCCAAAATTGAGCTCTGGGTTGGGAATAAAGAAAGAGTACTCACAAAGCCAAAGTCTATGAATTAGTAGAAAGGGATTTTTGCTCCTATGGAAGCAGTTTCAAGTTCACTAGCAATCGCACTTTATATAAGCCATCACTTTGGATACTTCCCGGTCCTCCAAAAATTTTTTTAAGACTTGTTGTCAGCTCTGGAATGCTATTTAATAAAACTCAAACAGCTAGCAAACCTGTTTCTCTAAGAGATCATTTCCCTGTATTTGCTTCTCACCCACGCCACTATAAAAATTCTTGGGTATTTGTTTTTCTGCATCCAGTTTTTTGCGTTTCAATAAAGAGTAATAGAGTTTTAATGTATTTAGTTGATAAGGATGAGCCACGTAAACAATTTCAGTTTTCTAATCTAGGATTAGACCACACAGATATATAATAAAATATAGGAACTAAGTTGAATTTCAGATACAGAGTATAAATTTTTAATATAGGTATGTTGCACATATATTGCATGGGAAAAACTTATACTAAAAGTTATTTGTTTATCTGAATTAAAACTAGCTAGGCTTTCTGAGTTTTATTGCTATCTGTATCATTATGTTGAATTTAAATAAAGGTAATTATCAGGTTACCTTGACCACTTAGTTCTGCTCTTAATGCTGTTTTTAAAAAATATCTAATTTATATCAAAGAAGTGTGTGTGCGTGTGTATGTGTGTGTGTTTGATAAGTGTTGTTTTGTTTTGTGATGCCAAAGGTTGTCAAGCTCATTAGATATTTGTAGCCCTGATATTTTACATTTTGCTGAATGAATGATTTCTTGAAGGTCAATAGCATTGAATTTTTATAAATTGAGTAAAATTTATACTAATAACCACGTTTTTTTCTTTATTACTTATATAGCAAGAAAACAATGTTTTGCCCTCTAATGATGATATAGACTTTTTTTTTTCAATTTTTACCGTGAGTTTCAGTCAATTGGAGAACCATTGTTTGGGTCCTGTAGCACATTTTAGCTGATCTTGGGTTGTTTTAGAAATATAAAGAGATACTTTGGTTTATTCTTGGATAACAATCAAACTTTACTTGTGTGGTACCTTGTTGGGCTTGAAATGTCCATGTTTACATTAAACAGAAACAACTTCTACAAACATAATGGATCTGTTCAATTTTTCTATTTTTTGTTTGATTTGAGTTAGAGTCTGAATATGCTTCTGCTATTTACACAGAAGTGTACTTGAAGTGTATGAATATTTATCTAAGAACAAATTAAAAGCAAAATGTGTAGGAATTAGAATATTTACTCTCATTCTTGGAGTTTGGTGTTACCTGTATAGGATTCTTCCCAATTTTTGATTATGAATCTAGATTATATTAAATGTTAAATATAATAAGTTAAAAAATCCAATAATTTGGTATGAAGAATACCAAATTTTGTGAAGGTTCTGAGGAGGGAAACTTAAGTTGACCCTGATGAATGTGTAGGATTTCTATATTTGGAAATTGGGATATGGAGAATATTCTCATGAAAGAGGTCCCTAGCATAATTGCATAAAAGGCATGTAGAAAGGTAGTAAGTCCGTTCCTTAAGCTGGGTTAGGCCCATGTCTTTGATAAACCTCTTTGTGCCCTTGGCCTCTGTAAATATTTGGGTTTAAAATGAAAAACTACAAACTTGTAATCAACTTTGTTCCATGACACTGTTATATTTTTCTTAAATTAACATATCCCTTTGCACTCCTTTAGGGAGAAGCAGGTCCTACTGGAGCTCGAGGCCCTGAAGGTCCTCAGGGTCAGAGAGGTGAAACTGGACCACCAGGTCCAATTGGTTCTCAAGGTCTTCCTGTAAGTTCCTAGTGTATCTAAGCACTAGCTCTGAAAGATGGGCACTTATTATAATATCAGAACAAATGCAACCTGTCTTAATATATTCTCTTTGAATTCTGAATGAGTGCTTAAAACTCATGAAAAAAAAAAAAAAACAAACAACATTTCCCTTATCAACTCTGCGTGTTTTCCCCAATTTATGGAAAAGGTAATTAGTCATAAAAGTATTCTTATGATGTGAATAATGTGATTTTTGCATTTTTTTCTCTCTCCTTTGGGAAGATGATTGGACTTCTGAATGCTACCCATATGTGTCCAGATATGGCTTAATATTTTAAAACTTTTTATGTGCCTTTTAGGGTGCAATGGGAACTGATGGTACACCTGGTGCCAAAGGCCCCACGGTAGGTAACTTCATTTACACCATGTGAAACTCTAATAGTTTCAATCCTTTGGATATTGGCCCTACAATACTACCTAGGTCTCTACTTACCATGCCACTTTTGCTACCTGACAGGGCTCTCCAGGTACCTCAGGTCCTCCTGGCTTGACAGGACCCCCTGGATCTCCTGGCCCTCAGGGTAGCACTGGACCTCAGGGAATTCGAGGACAACCGGTACTGTCTTTTGAAACATCCATCATCCTGTAGTATTATCAAACTAAGAGTGCTTAGAGAAGTAACAGGTAATATGAAACAATGACGCAGACAATGTGACTTATCCAAGTGAGGGAAATGAAGTCTGGAATCTGAAATCTCTGAAAGCCAAATGTTAATGTGCAATCAAGTTGTTTAAATTCTAAATTGAACATTATTGCCGTAAGTTAAATTTTAGGTTTTTTAAAACTTAATATAGTGATAACTTCATAGTTCACCTCATAGAATTTTATGGTTAGTTAAATAATAAATGTTACAAAAATATTTTATAGGGATTTATGAGATGATTTGGCTAAAATTAGGTTGAACAGATATTTCTTGAGGGTTATTCTTGAAGAATGATTCCAACATACTGTTTCTATTAAACAAGTTTCCATAGTTTGCAGAAATTATTAAGAAATATATTTGTGATGAGTCCATAAGAAATAAACACATTGAGAAGTTGTGCTTTTATAGCTTTTATCTTGATGGGGAAAATACAATTTTTTCCCAGTACCACTTTAAACAAATATTTTAGATTATGTTACAAAAAAATGTGGTCATGTTGATAAACTATTTTTAATTGCTAAGGATAGATTTATTAAAATATGAATATTGCTGATATGTCACAATTTACTTTACTATGTTCTCAATTTGGCAATTTGATTCCTTTGATATAAACACCAATTAATATTTAAGGACACAAATACAGAACTCCCAGAGCATTTCAAAAATGAAATATCCTACTTGGAGTTGCAAAATTCTCAAGAAATAAGAGAAACAAAATGGTTTTGATTCTGAGTAAACAAATCTATATCTTAAGTAAACACTAAGTAAAATTACCTATAGAAGTCATCATTGTTAATTCTAATTTAAGGATCAAATCTGAATAATAATGGAATAATTTTAAGTATTTTAGTATGTTTGAAAAAACATGACATTAAAAATCAAACTGTTGAAGTTCACATAGATTCACATACATTCTATAAGATCTGCCAAGTTTAAAAATCACATTACTAATTCGATATAGATTCAAACACTGAAAAAAATTCGTGCCTATTCATGCTAATGGATTAGAGCAGATTGGACTTGCTAAATGTCCTGGTTTCTATAACAGTTAACATTTTATTTTAGGGTGATCCAGGAGTTCCAGGTTTTAAAGGAGAAGCTGGCCCAAAAGGGGAACCTGTAAGCCTTCACTTTTATTTTTATTTTTTTTTTTAAAGACTAGAAGAGCATAAATGTCATTTGGAAGTGTACATCTCAAAATGCTCAAGAGATTAAAAAACAATGGGACTAATAATAGCTTTGGATGAAAATACTTTGTTTATTATACTTTAGGATTTGTGACTGGCTTCATTAAATGAGTCTTCCAACTATTCCACTTGTCAAAGAGCTCCTCTGGTAACTTCCTTATGTTTTTAACAGGGGCCACATGGTATTCAGGGCCCAATAGGCCCACCTGGTGAAGAAGGCAAACGAGGCCCTCGAGGTGATCCAGGAACGGTTGGACCACCAGGCCCAATGGGAGAAAGGGTAAATTTGAATAATAAAATACATTCTTATAGTTATGGGGGAATTGTGTGAGTAAGTTTGGGGATAATAAGGAAAACTAAAGCATTTAAGGGATCCACTGTAGTGGCCTCAAAACAGTTTAACATGGTTGTTGTGTATAAAAAGAGCCAACTGTCTAATCATTCCTCATTCATTTGTGCGACACATATTGATTGAATCATTACCAAATGCCAATTTGAGATTTTGGTGCTTGGAATACATTAGCAGACTTCTGTCTACTATGGTCTGAGCCTTGTGTGGACATTAGTTTACTTTGGTGGGGAGATACAATTAGAAGCCAGTAGTAAATAAAAACATATTTACACATTCACTTATTATCTAATGGGCTGGCATGGTGAAGACTTAACTAGAGTATATGATAGTGATATAATGTTAGATTAGGTGCTTAGGAAATAGGGTCCTTTGAGAAGATACAATTTTGCCTGAGACCTAAGAAAGAACATTCTTAGCAGAGGAAAAACTAACTCCTAAGCCAGAAGGTCAGAAAGGATTTGGTCATTGTGAAGGTCAGAAGAGGCTGCTGTGACTGCAGTATGAAGAAACAAATCTGAAAGGGGCAACAATAATCCAAAATTTGTACAGAGCTCAGAGCTGTCAAGGGCTTCTCACACAAAACAATACTAGTGCTCCTAAAACTTTATAATAATTAAAATAAAAATTAATCGCTATATTCCAAAACTGTCAATAGCAATTTAAAGATTATATTTTCATCCTTTGTAGGGTTCTCCTGGCAACCGTGGTTTTCCAGGATCTGATGGTTTGCCTGGACCAAAGGTGAGATCACCCCACATTGCTGATGCTCACGTGGGTGGTGTTTAAAAGAGGCCAAGTACAGGATGGTGATGAATCTGGCATGAATCCAGATCTAGAAAGGAGGTGGACGCAGACATCAGGCCTGTCCCTAAACTATGTAACTGGTTTTCTTTTAAGAGGACTAAGTCAGGAGGATGATGGTTTAAATATTATGAGAACTTGTTTTCAGACTTTTGAGGCACATTCCAGAGATGAAAAAATAATAGACTTTTACTTTAGCTGATATATATCTTTTACTCAGAAATTTAGCTCTTCCAAGACTCTATTTGAATTATTGGAGTGAGGTTCTAAACACAACTTTGATTAATCAATGATGGGAAAACCACTCTTTTACAAGATATTCAAGTTACAACAAAATGTTTAATAACATTGTTTCGAAGAAGTCTTTGTAACATCTTTGACAAAATAGTTGTATATTAGTGCAGATTTGTAAAATAAGAATTTAACCTCTCCCTGCTTTTGTTTCCCTGTACTCCTTTCTTTCTTCTTCTAACTAGTATCTCTTGGTTTGAAACAGGGTGCTCAAGGAGAACGGGGTCCTGTAGGTTCTTCAGGACCTAAGGGAGGCCAAGGGGACCCAGGACGTCCAGGGGAACCTGGGCTTCCAGGTGCTCGGGTAAGAACCTGGAGTTATTTGGTATATAAACCCCAAAGAAATCCTAGTTTATCCATTGAAGGTTTTTTTTTGCTTTTGCTTGTTTATACAACTTGGAGCATTTTGTTTTTATGATTTTGATCTGATTGTTTGAAATATTGTTTTTAAATTATTTTCACTTATAGACAACATGTTAACGTATAGTCTTCGTTTCTCAAATAAGTATATACTAGTAGCTTTGCCATTTGACATGAGAAAAAAAATCTTGTTTTCATTACTTGCTAAAAAAAAAAACCCTGCTTGTTTGGACTTTGGTACAGATTTCCTGATAAATTTCACTTTAACAAAATATCATTGGTAATATTATTTAAACTCTGGAATTGGCCATCTATTCAATCTTTAACAATGCAACACTATTTTTCCTGTTTAGAATCTTTACTTAAATGTCAGTTTAGCAACAAATTGACAGGTGCTTTTCATTTTCAGGGTCTGACAGGCAATCCTGGTGTCCAAGGTCCTGAAGGAAAACTTGGACCTTTGGTAAGTAATTTAAATAAAAAGCTATTACCTTGATATTTTTAAATAGATATGCAATTTAAATGACACTAATTTGAAGTTAATATTGTAATTGTATGGATGTTATATTTTCATGCTTCACCTAGTAAATTCTTCAGATCTTTTATATTTTCAAATTGAACAAAATCTAGATCAAATTTCATTGAAATAAATGTTGGAGTTTGAAATTCCAAAATTGAAGAGAGTTGAAATGATGCTATTTGATATTAGTGAAATTTGTCTACTAACAATGTTCTCATTTTTCCAATTTTATATATTTAAAAGATAAGGAGGTAGGACTCTTAAGAGGTGATATATTTTGAGCCCTTACCTTATATTTCATTGTAAAACAAAGTCCTGAATTTTCATTACCACAAACTAGAGTAAATGAAAGAAGAAGGAAAGATTCTTCCTATCAATATGAGAATGTCAGGAAATGTGAGGACAAGGCTTATGCATACAGTAAGAATAAAATCTGTTCTCTAATTACTCCAAATATTTAAGAGATTTTCTAAAAACCATCCAACTTTTCTGAGTCACTAAAAAAAGCCATGGGGTAATTTACAATTTATATAACTTTTATAGTAAGCAAAAGAAAATGGCAAATTTAGAATGGAACATTAAGAGAGAACTTACATGTTTCCTGTCTATCCTATAGGGTGCTCCAGGGGAGGATGGCCGACCAGGTCCTCCAGGTTCCATAGGCATCAGAGGGCAGCCTGGGAGTATGGGTCTTCCAGGCCCGAAAGGTAGCAGTGTGAGTACAGTGTATACTATATGCCGCCTCAGCAGAATCTGCATTGGAAGACCAAAGTATATTTTTTAGAAAACTGATTTGAGTTTTAGAATTACTTCAATTTACTCTTTAGGGTGACCCTGGAAAACCGGGAGAAGCAGGAAATGCTGGAGTTCCTGGGCAAAGGGTAACTATCCATTTTCTGCTAAAAAAACAAATATGAAACTGTCGAAATTCTCATTGTCTCATCTTATGAATTCTCTGTGTGATACTAGGGAGCTCCTGGAAAAGATGGTGAAGTTGGTCCTTCCGGTCCTGTGGGCCCTCCGGTATGTGACCTTTTAGTGATTATATTTTTAAATCACATTTCTTGGTGATGTTTGTCCAGGATTTATGAATACTTATTGAATAAGTTTCAGGAGAAGTGAATACAAATGTGTGGGGTAGAAAAATTTTAGTTATATTTTATCACCTGATTCCTTGTGATCTGGTATTTCCATCCTTTTACAATAAAATGATTGGCCTTTTCATTTTAAAGATTTTTAAAAATCTGATGACAAAGACTACCTTATTATCTTTATAAGTTGCAATTGACTTTGACAAATATTTTATATTTTATTAAAATTTTAAATACTAATTATACCTATCTTCTTCCAATAATGTATCTTATAAAAATTTACTTAAGATGGCTTTTTTTGAAAAGATAAAAATAAATAATATATATTCTTTGAGATTAGGTTTTTGTTTTAGGATTTTGAAGTTGTTTATCAGAAATATTTGGGCATATTTGCTGGTTTTGGTGTGGAACAGCTTAATTGTGTTTCTAAAATGTCAGCTTTGCTTTCTTTAGTTATTCTAGTTTTGAAGCTGTGATTAATAATTCTTATGGCACATAGAAATAAACTACAAGAGAAAATATCATCCTTTTAGATTAGATATGGGAAAATGATGGATTTTTTTCCGTGCTCAATTTGCCCAACTTTCTTATAATTTGAAAATTGACTCCAGACATTTTCTTTTTGGATCAAAAAAAAGGAATACATGACATCAGTCTCTTCACTGGCTTTAGATGATATTTTCTCACCAGCAGGAACTTCAAATAATACCATTTGATAGATTTTTTAATTCTAGTCTGTTATTTAGCCAACATGATAAACATGCTGAAAGAAATACTGGAAGTAAGCTGTTTCCATAAACAAGAAGCAGACATAAATCTATCTGTATTCATGATTTTCTTTCCTTCATGACTTAGGGTCTAGCTGGGGAAAGAGGAGAACAGGGACCTCCAGGCCCCACTGGCTTTCAGGTATGCACTAATTCAGGTTTCTGTTCTTCCATTGAATGGTTTTAAGATACGAAAAGTTAAGGTTGAATGATGTGAAATTCTCACATTTTCAAAAAAGTCATCCCCCTTTGAGTAGATGGGATAGATATTTGGATAAAATCAAGCATTTTTGTTCAAAGGAATGGAATTCCCCTGAAAAACTGATCAAACACAAAGCTATCAACAAATTAAAAATAATAAAATGTTCCTGATAACTGAACAAGGCTATTAAACTATAAGTCTTATCATTTTTATGGGCATAGTCACTAAAATTTGTTTGGAAAAACTTTCATGATTTATCTACATACATGTTTTGCTTAATGTGTCTACATAATATCTTTTGCTGGGTATATAATCACGGAGGTTCTATGAATTATAAGAGATGAATTGTTAACATTGGTAGTCTATGTATTTTCATAGATTCAAAATTTTATTTCCTTATGTTCATTTTAGGGGCTTCCTGGGCCTCCAGGTCCTCCTGGGGAAGGTGGAAAGCCAGGTGATCAGGTGAGATTTAAAATAATAACAACGCCATAAAAATTGCTGGCTCATGATATTACTTTTTGTGAGTGAAGATCTGTTCTGATTTTTTTCCATATATCTCTTTGAATCTTCAAAAGAATCCTATGTATTATTGTTATCTGCATTCTACAGATGAGGACAGTGAGGCACAGAGATACTAGATGTCTTTCCTAAAGTCACACGGCTGATAGTATTTGAGCCCAGGTTTTCTGTTTTCCAAGACTGTGCCCTTAACTAGCAAATATACCTTACCATAGCCATAGAGTTTCACTGGAGGATTTATACACAGTTATAAACACATATAATGATTTTAACATAAGTTAATCTATTTTTTCTTTGAGTGATTCATTTGTTGCTTACCATTCAAAACAAGTATTTCCTGAAAATTTCTTATACTTGGCTCTACTGAGAGGAACAGATGGATATGGGCATTGCTGTCATATTAAGAATGGTAGAAGATGGAGAAAATAAGAAGAGAGTTATAATACAGCATGTTCTGAAAGCAATAATAGGGGAGATAACATATGTATGAAAACATGAAAGATGCACCTAATTCAGATAGACATAAGGGTCTAGGAAAAGTTTCTGAGAGAAAGTAGTATCTTGTATGAGATCTGAAGGATGAACAATGGCATAGTCAGAATGAATGGAAGGACTTTTCATAATACTATGAAATTGGGGTTTTAGGAATATCATGTCGCAATGAGGACGAGCTGTTTCAGAAGAACCCATAATTCCTCGTAGTGTTTTGTCCATAACATATGTCTAAAAAAAATATTTACTAAATTAAGTAGGACTTAATTGGTTCTATTTAGAAGATAAGCTCTTCACTGTTTTTTATATTATTTTTCTTTATGTAAACTTTTCTATGTTCTATTGGGATATAAAAGGCTTTGGGATATATTCTTTCACTAAAAAGTATACCATACTAATTTTGTGCCAGAATATTTTGCATTTTTTCATTGCCAAAAAATTAAACATTCAGATATAATTTAAAGTTTTCTGGAAAAATGTTTCTATTCAATATATGGATATTCTTTTATTTTAAAAGTATATATAATTTTCCTTCTTTAATATTATGGACTTATTCAGCCTTCAAATGGTACTCAGAAATAAATTTGATATATGATCTAAAAAGATTTCTACTAATGCCTTAGAGCTATCTTAAAGTTTTTCTTCCGTTTTTAAAAATTCTATTTGTAGGGTGTTCCTGGAGACCCTGGAGCAGTTGGCCCATTAGGACCTAGAGTAAGTATTTTCTGTTTTGTGATTAATTTTGCTTCCCACTGGCTTCAATTTTAAAACAGCATCTTATATCTTAAAAGGAGTTTTGATTTACGCACCAAATTAAAAAACTTGAATCATGAACGAGGCTGCTTCTAAATTTTTCTCTAGCAATGCCATTTACAGAAACATTTTAAAACCATTTTTAGATGAAGTATTGAAATTATTTGACATTCTAATATTATCATAGGGAGAAAGAGGAAATCCTGGTGAGAGAGGAGAACCCGGAATAACTGGACTCCCTGGTGAGAAGGGCATGGCTGGAGGACATGGTCCTGATGGTCCAAAAGTAAGTACCACATTGATCTCCATACTTTAAAAAGCTCTAAAATTACTGCCTAGCAGGTTCCAGATGGTATTAGAATGTGTTTCACTTTTTTTTTTTTTTTTTGCAAGACGAGTTGACTTTATCATTTAATTTTCAACAAATATTTAATGAGTGCCTACTAGGCATTTTCCTGGCAAATAAAGAATGAGCTCAAAAGAAGACTTTCTGCAAGGTAGATAATGCCCTAAGGCATATGATGACATGATGATATGATTCACACACATGCTTATTCTTAATGCTTATTTAGATACATTTTATTAATAGATTCCATGCGTAAGCAGAAGCAAGAAATAGAAAATCACATTTTTTACTAAAGCTATTCTTAATCACGTGCTCCATTTTCCTTGTCTCTGGTTGCACAATTCTTTCTACACATGTGAAAATATGTACTTTTTGAACCCTGAAGATAGAATACATTATAAAGGAGAAATCAGCACCCTTCCCTTTTAAGTGTCATTGGTAGGAAGAAAATAATGCAGCCAGCTTCAGTATGCACAATTGAAGTACAATTTTCCATGATCATGTAGCATGACAGCTTTTATCCTCTTCAGGGAACAGAGTGATTGGATAAGATTGACTTTAATCTAACCACTAATTATCTGAAAAAAGAACTTAATAACACAGGTTTTCTTAAGAGAGGATGGAATCAACATTTCTTTCCTCTAAATGTAATCTCATCTTTATGAGTCTAAGATGTTGCCAATAGAGGAAAAAAAGAAAAAGGCAAGTCTATTATTTTTATTTTAATTGGTATTTAATTTTCTCTAAAGAGAAAAGTTGGAAGCATAAATCAAAAGTCAAAAATCAAATCTGTTTTAATTCCTAAATAAAAATGTAAACATTAGGTTAAACTATGTGAAATTGCTGACATTCAACTACCGTTGCCCTACTGAAGTAGCAATTTCACATGTTTAGTCTTAACGTGGTCACTTATTATTTGTCCATTTTAGGGCAGTCCAGGTCCGACTGGAACTGTTGGAGACACAGGCCCACCAGGTCTTCAGGGTATGCCAGGAGAAAGAGGAATTGCTGGCACTCCTGGCCCCAAGGGTGACCGAGTAAGTCTCTTTATTTATCTATTTATTCCACTTAATTTCTTTAGATGTTCTACTAATAATGATTTCTTATGTAGGCTTTTCCTTCTACCATTCTGAGTCTCACATCACCTATTCATTTATTCTTCTAATAAATATTTATTGAGAAAGTGCACAGTGCCAGGTACTGTCTAGGCTCAAGGGGACACAGCTATGAAGTCAATTAAGCCTTTGGACCCGTGAAACTTTCTCACAGGTGTGGGAAAGAAATAATTGAATGGATAAAGTATTTTGTATGCTCTTCCAGGGTGGCATTGGAGAGAAAGGCGCTGAAGGCACAGCTGGAAACGATGGAGCAAGAGTAAGTGAGAGCATATTTTTGTAGCAGGGTGAGGAACCAACATTATAAGTAGTATATGAATATATCTTAATTTTTCAAAATAAAGTTTATCACGTTTCATTGGTAGTCAGAATTTTGAGAATGATGGCATTTGAGATGTTATGTGAATCAGTCATGGATACTTATTTTCATACCACAAATTACTGGAAGCCCAAAAGTAGTCATTGTTGAAAAAATTAAATAAAACACAAATGTATTATGTCTGTGGAATGGGGTTTAAGGGAGTGGGGTGCCTCTTTGTCTTTCTCTGTCATCTTTTTATTTCATGTGCAATGTTTATTTCTGTTGAAATGTTGATCTAAAGAGCTAGTCTAGACCTCATTCCAGTACAGGCAAGTAGAATTTTATAGTAGCCAAAGTGTGTTAAGTGTTCCTCAATATACTGAGTATTATAGGTGAGAAAATTACTGCACAGTGACTCATCATTTATGCTTTCATCAATGAACAGTCTGGATAAGTGGAATGTTAAGAAGAATGGTTGAGGGGCTGGGGTTCTGGCTCAGCACTTACCTAGCATGCATGAGGCACTGGGTTCAAGCTTCAGCACCACATAAAAATAAATAAATGAAATAAAGGTATCCTGTCCATCTGCAACTAAAAAAATAAAAAATAAAAAAAGAATGATTGACACCAAAGCATTGTTTAATGTCATGTCAAAAAAATTGACATTTAACAAATTTTAGATCTTCAAAATTAGAATATATTTGCAGGTCCAAGGGTAATCAGGGTAGTAGGAAAATATATTTTCAGACATGAATTATTTCCTCATGGAGGAATGGTTAACACAGTGGTTCAAATGCTCGGCATTTTCTGTTACAATTCCCGATATTTTGTGAATTTTTCCTGTGTCAGTGAGACATGGTTTGCTGTTATTTTCATGTTGTGCCTGGCAGTAGCAATTTCATCATTAAAAAAAGATCACCTTGAGCCACTTTCTGGTACTTCAAATTGAGTAAAATAGAGAAAAGTTTTATCTTAGGTGATATTGTCCCTTTATCCTTATGAAAAAATTTAGCGCATCACAAACACTTGCTGTCTTTTCCCTTTTTGTTAAATCTAAAAGTTGATTTAATATTTCAAAAGCAATTTAAGTAAATCTAGAATATTGTTGGTGTTCTACATCAAAAGTGTTATGGAATGTATAGTAACAGTACAAGACTATTTGAAGGAATGTTACATTGAGAGTTTAAATACAAAGTACATGTCTACTGTGCCTGTGAATTGCCAATGTGGTAGGCTCGGCACTAAGCAATGGCTGCTTTAGTTGTAGTGAAGGCAGTACATTGTTTTAGGAAAGAGAGAGAACAGAACATCTGCTGGAATCATATAATAAAGGAAAAATCAATAGTATGTGCTCTCTGTATGGAAAAAGCATCTGTGACTATAAGTACCAAAGTGATCTTTGTATTTAATCAGATCTTTTAAAGAATTACCTTGAGTAAATTAACAGAAAAATATCATTTCATTATTGATACAGAGAATATAAGAACATGGTTTTCTCATATTCATGTCAAAATATGAAATTAAAAGTCATTTTTGTGACCTAACTTTCTTCGTCAATACTTACAGAAATTAAATAATGAAAGAATATTTGGGCTGCATATGAAGAGACAATCCACAAATATTGGTAGAGACATTGTTTTAGGAAGAACTCCCACACTCCAAGTGTAAAATGCCACATCAGCTTCAGTGTAGCTGGGTGGTGACTCTCTTTTTCATTTCAGAAGCATGTAGAAAATTAAATGTTTACCATTTTTATAATTATAATTTAGGAATATATTATAAAAGAAGAAAAGCCTTTTTTTCAATCTATATTCAACTTTCAAAATAGATATTAGCAAAATGAAAGAGGCTAAGAAACATAGACATTATTGAAAATGACATTAATTTAGAACTAATGTTTAAAGACAGTTTATGTGGGTAGGTGTTGAGTTGGGTGAAAGAGAAACATTTTGTTGGGAAAATCTGGTGGAAGTGGTAATGGAGCAGACAGAAAAAATTTGAAAATATACAGATTATGTCATGTATTGTAGATAATAATTTGAAAAAAAACAAGGTATAAAAATAGTATTTCTTTGTTTCCTTACTTAAATATGGAGATTTATGTGCATTCTTATTCTCAGTATGCCTATATTCTATTCACTGACAGGGTCTTCCAGGTCCCTTGGGCCCCCCAGGTCCTGCAGGTCCTACTGGAGAAAAGGTAAGTCACAAACTGTTATTTTGTGCACTTAAAAGCATAAGGGGGAAATAAGGATGTTGTGTAAATAGAAGGGAAACCAGTAGGATAGAGGAATGGAGGAAGAGAGGGAAAGGGGAGGTATGTAAGAGTGAAATTGATCAAGTTATGTTATATAGATGTGAAAATATGCCACAGTGAAGCCCACTATTCTGAATAATCATTATGCATCAATTTTTTAAAATGTCTGAACGCTGGCTCTTTCATAAAATTTTGAGGTAGAAGGTCTCATAGTTGTCACCCACTATCTACCCATTCATGTTGCCCAATATTCTACAATTGTATTATGTTTTACTTTGGACAATAAATGTCTAAAATCTGCTTTTTAGGGTGAACCTGGACCTCGAGGTTTAGTTGGCCCTCCTGGCTCCCGTGGCAATCCTGTAAGTGACAATATTTTGGTGTTTTTTTTAGTGTATGATTGAGCAATAAAACAACTTATCAATTGCTATCTATCTATCAGTCATCTACCATCTACATATGCTTATAGTGATGTCCATGCCTACTGATTTAAGCTATTTATAACTTCCTAATTTTCAACCTTTACTTTTCTAATTAAACTTTAAAAATTTATGAGCTACACAATCTAGTAAGTCTAGGTAGGCAGTTTGTTTACTAAATAAGAAACTTTGAGACTTCTATGTTCAGAATTTTGTTCTATGACCTCTGTCTTTGTATTACCCTTAAGGATCTTCCTCTAGCAATATGTATAATTTCTTTATATATATGCTTCAAAGTACACTGAATTTATACACCCTACTTAAAAATATTGTACTTTTTAAGAATATGTGTGGAGATTCAGTAATCTTTTTCTTCTTTTAGGGTTCGCGTGGTGAAAATGGCCCAACTGGGGCTGTTGGTTTTGCTGGACCCCAGGTATAATTTTCAAATATCCTCAATTTATAAGTTGACACTCCTCTGTTTATAGCAATGAGTTAAAATGTCATTGTCATATTTTTGAAAGTATATTGAAGTTCTGGGAAGTATATGGTTTTGTTAACATTGATTCCCATTTTCAATATAGCTTTTCATAAGCTGGCACAAAAATTGAGGTTGTCACATCTGAGTTTGCTTATGTAACTATAATTTTAATAATTTATAGTTTTTTTTAAAACTGTCTTCAAAGATCTCATCAGGGTTTTGATTTTTGTCCTGTACTTTAATATTGTAGCCAAAGCTTTATTTCATAATATATAACTAATGTTAGTAGCAATTAATATTAAATATTTTGTCCATAAATCTTATAAATCTGTTGCTCCTTTGTACAATTGCATATAGGGTCCTGATGGGCAGCCTGGAGTAAAAGGTGAACCTGGAGAGCCAGGACAGAAAGGAGATGCTGGATCTCCTGGACCACAAGGGCTAGCAGGATCCCCTGGCCCTCATGTGAGTTAAAACAAAACAAAACAAACAAAAAAAAAACTTATAACTTGAGTCCAATACTCAATGTTTGGTATGTATATTAAACTAATTGTGCTTTACTGCAGTACTTTTTATTTTCTTTCCAATTTAGGGTCCTAGTGGTGTTCCTGGACTAAAAGGTGGACGAGGAACTCAGGGTCCACCTGTAAGTTATTTTGATATTCTAGGAATTATGTACAGCTAGTTCAGTCATCTAGTACTTGGCCATGTAAAAGTTAGTCTCCATCAGAAACTGTAATAAGTTATTTCATGTATCAGCTAATTTGTAGAGCAAAGGGTATTTGACTAAGATGGAGATCTAGATTAAAATAAATTTTGTAATCTTGGAGACCCAACTGCTTCATGTGTAAACATAAATAATTTATTACCCAAGTAAAGGGATAAATGAATAATGTGAAAGCACTTAATAAAATTTGATATAGAAAATATTTATATGTTTGTTGCCCTACCTATGTAAGTTCAAGATAAATGAAAAGTTGAAAGAAAAAAATAGGGTCCTACCTACCAATTAGTCTATTTATCAAAAATGTAAAATGCATGAGAAGAAAAAATATATGATTACAACATGGAAGGGAATCTAAAGGCTGCAGTCTTCCTTGAAAAACAGATCTCAGGAAAATATATATAACTAATTAATATTATTTAATAATTGATCATGTAATATTATTTCTTAGGGTGCTACAGGATTTCCTGGTTCTGCTGGCAGAGTTGGACCTCCAGGCCCTGCTGTAAGTTAACTAAGTGATTCAAGTCATTGGTAGTTAAGTAATTACATATAGACACTTGATATATTTGAGATATTATTTCTATTTAATTCCTTACTGGCTTGTTTGCTAGTTTAATGCCTCCTTCTGCAATAATTCCTACTGGTGTTTCATCAAAATAAATTCATATTTAATAATACAATATTTCTTGGAGGGACTTATTTGTGAGTCATTTTCAGCCCTAAAGTTTCATGATTATTCGAGTACTAAGTACTAATAGTATTATGTACTTATCATCATTTTCTTTAGTTCAGAAGCATCTATGAAACTTTGTAATAAATGTTATTCTGTCACTATAAGATCAGGTTAAACAGAATAAAATATTAAATATTCATAATTAGAACAGAGACTTAAGTTTGGAAAAAAATTTTTACCAGTCTTTTAATAATGATTCAAAGGGACTTGTCTGCAAATGATATTTAGATTTTCTCATGGGAAATGAAGGTACAGCTATGTTTTCTTTGTTTTATTTAAATATGCTCAGTGATTAACAGGAAAAATGAATCTACAAGGCTCAGCCATCTGCATTTGAGGCAGAGCCCACTGAACCAATCCCTCTTACTGGGCTTCCCTCTGCCCTCCTGGGTGTTCTTTTCTGTATTATACTAGGGAGCTCCAGGACCTGCAGGGCCCATAGGGGAGCCAGGGAAGGAAGGACCTCCAGGTCTTCGAGGGGATCCTGGCTCTCATGGACGAGTGGGAGATCGAGGACCAGCTGGCCCCCCCGGTGGCCCAGGAGATAAAGGGGACCCAGGAGAAGATGGGCAGCCTGTAAGTTTGGCATCTTTGTTTCAGACCCCTTCCTGTTGAGATATTGCAAATAGAAACCCATAATAATCATGGTCACAAAGAAACTGCTTAAATATTATTCTGAACACATTTAAGTGACATTAAGGTCTGTAGATGTTTAATTTAAAATCCTCTTCTCAAAAAGAAAGTATCTGCATAAATATAAAAAAGTAATGGGCATAGTTTTCAAAAACAATCAAAAATTATTTTTAATTTAAATTAAATACAGATACATATACACATATTATTGCTCTAATAGCCAACTGGCTCTAAATATGAATGTGTTTTCTTTACTTTTTAAATTTATTTTTGTCTTTTTAAAAGGAGAAAAAATGTTTTTTGAATAGTTCTCTCTTTTTTTCAATCAATATTCACAGTATTTTTCAAGGTCACTTTCAATTGATGTGCTATTTTCACCTTTAAATAGAGTTGGAGGCTCAGTGTGAATTATAATTTATGACTGCGCTTATATAGGCTGGTTTTGTGAGATAGAACTTTTTTCATACCCCAGTCCTATAAATCTGTAATCACTCTATTGTAAATTTCCTGGATATGGATTTTACTTTGCAGAATTTTTAATTAGAATTTATTCTCAACATTAGGGTCCAGATGGTCCTCCTGGTCCAGCTGGGACAACTGGGCAAAGAGGGATTGTCGGCATGCCTGGGCAACGTGGAGAACGAGGCATGCCCGGCCTGCCCGGCCCAGCGGTGAGTCACTGCAATCGACAGTATTTCATCTGATGTATGCAATTTAATTTGTGCAGAGAAAATTGATTTTTTTCTTAATGAATAGAGTTAAACAGTCTTGAATCAACATAAATTCTGAGTTATCTTAAAAACCAGTTGATCTTAAATGTCAAATGCTTAACTACCTTTCAAAGTCTTTGAAAATGTATTTGTTTAATCCTGGGACTAGAGAAGTAGCCAATAAGGAATTGGACTTTTGGTGACTCTTAAATCTTTCTTCAAAGATTAAAAGAGATCCATGGAGCTAGAGAAGGGGGATAATCTCCCGGTGAGTAGGTAGCGTCTTTTTAAATAAACATGCTTAACAAAACATCCATATTTCACAGTAAACTACCAAAGAGAAGAAATAGTTGAGCTGAAGTAATATTAGAGGTGGATGTGAGTGAATTATCAAGAAGGACTCTGAAGACAATCCCCTATTCCCTGGAGGGAGCTTAAGAATCTCATATTATTTGAAATATGGATGAAAATTTGATTCAATATTAGCTTTGAAGAGAGTGAATTTCACCACTGAAAGTTTACAATACTTGAGAAAAAAAGTTAATAATGTTTTTATATGGAATGTGGCTAGAGAAGTGAACTCCCAGGATCTTGGTACTGTGACATATCTGGGTAGAAATCTCAAACCAGTCAATTAGGATTTAAGGGATATCTTATTGTTGCCAGAATTGAACCAAGGATCTGAAAGTAAAATTCCTTGGTAGTGAGACTAAAATACCAGAATACAGTACTATATTGAGCAGACAAGGCAGGAGTGAAATAGAATGAGTTTATGTTACTAGTGATGCAGATTCTATAAGGGCAGCCAGAATTAACTACATGTGATTCAAACACAAAATGCACTCCTAAGCTGGTGGGCAAAGAATGCCTTTTGGTTCCTTTGGTATGTCAGGAGGAATGTGAGAAGTGGGTATGTATCTAGGCATGCATTATAGTGATGCAGGTTATATAGGTTAACAGATAATTATTGCTGTAGAAGGAGGGACTATGGCACCATTTCAATAAATGTGGTCTTTATAGGAATTGGAATTCTTCACTGGTTTTAGAGGTTGACATATTTATACAACAATTGCAGGGCACACCAGGAAAAGTAGGACCAACTGGTGCAACAGGAGATAAAGGTCCACCTGGACCTGTGGGACCCCCTGGCTCAAATGGTCCCGTAGGTGAACCTGGACCAGAAGTAAGTGTCACAGTGAACACAGCTCTCCTTTGTTTTCTGGGTGTGATGGGGCAATTGTTTTATTAGAAATTGATTGCACACAGGACCTTAAGGAAGCTTGTCAGTGATGTTATTTGAAGTACTTCCCTACAAAGTTGGCTAAATGATTGGATAAAGAAGAAGGGAACAAAAGCAATGTCTGTACTGACCTTCATCTAGTCTGAAGCTGAGTGTTTTAGTTGATTTAGCTTTTGCCAAATTGTTTTCAAGGTGAAAGGACACAGCTATTCATTTTTCCCCTTGTTATTATTTCATTGTATAATGGGATTGCCAAGTTTTATGGTGATAAGATTAATATACCTTCTACATCATGTAAAAAGGGCAAAGTAAGTAGAGACCACTCTACTTAAATATCACTATAAAGTGACACAATTGATGTCATGTTCCTTAGGCTCTTTTGAGATGAAATAAGTTTCAGACAGGCAACTTGAGAAGTTAAAGTTGGAATATCTGTTCAGTACTTTACTGAGTGACTCGCCAGTCACATTTTCTTGAAAGAAATCATCAATAGTTTTTTGAGCTATTTTAAAAAATCAAATAACAAAACTATGGTCCTGACAAAATCAAAATATATAAGGGACAATAAACTAGATGTTTTTAAATGCAGTGTAGCATCAACTAAACAAGTCACTTGATTTTAAAACCTTAAGACTATTATTTGGATAAACTCAAAAAGTAACAAGAAAAATCATTCATTGGTAACACAAATAAACATACAACAGGAAAAATGTTATTGTTTGTTTATTTCAAGGTGTTTGAGAATTTCTTTTCCTTTTTAAAAATAAGAACTAGGCATGGACAATTTTAGATAAAGTAAGACTATGTTAATTTTACAAGCAATTCAAAGTATTAGAGAAAACTGGTAGAAGCCTTTTTTTTCTACTGAGATTTCCATAAATGCTGGTTTATAGTTTAAAGAAGAGAGGTATAAGACATGCTGTCATTTTTCTGACAATTAGAATGAGATTTTTTTTCACTACTGCTAATTGTTTTTTGTGTGTGATTGCTCATAGGGTCCAGCAGGTAATGATGGTACTCCAGGCCGGGATGGTGCTGTTGGAGAACGTGTAAGAACAATTCATTGATTAAAGCAATCAAGACTCATATAAACCTGAAATCCTTTAAATTTTAGTATTACACTAAAAAAAAAAAACAAAAAAAACCACCCTTTATTCTCATAACTCCATTGCAGCTGTGATTTTTCTGATAGTAGAAACCTTTTTATAAGGTTATAATTTTGGAAAATCTTGTAAGTGAAGTGACACTTACATGCATGGCAAATTAACATGGCATATTTAATTCAAAGCAGGAAAACAAATTAGTATCATCTTTGGTGCAACATAAAGACTTTGGGCAAGGAGACATATGGAGTGTTCTAAATACCAAACTGATTCAGTAAAGTATAAAAGCTGAAATAGAGCTGTGTGACATTTAGATTTCTCTACTCACCCCTTAAAGTGAATGACTTATGAGGATATAAGCTTTCTAAGCATTATCTATTACATGATTTATTTTAAAATTAGACATTGGCTGAACTGAAAATCTCCTTGACTTTATCTGAAGCTCAGTCCCTTTTGGAAGTTGCACAGTTGTTTTAGAATATTGGGCTACTGAAGGCAAAAAGCACTCCTTACCCCAAAGTGTGTTATGATATAACACAAGGTGATATGGGGTGATATGATCATCCCAAGGGCTCCTCATTAGCAGAAAGGACTATGGACCCAGGCAGACCTAATATGGAGCCTTGAATCTGAAAGTATATCTGTGTGATCTTGAGAAAAATTTCTGCATATTAAATATGATTAATATCTAGTCCATTAGGTACTTTTTTGCTAAATAACACATTTAAAAAACTTGCACAGGATCAGCACTCAAGAATGTCCTCATGTTGAAAAAAATGGGGAAGATAGAGCTATGGGAAACCTTGGGCTGAGACTCCCTTTATCTATCATAACTTCTAGAACTGCATATTCTCTTCATTTCGGTAGCTTCTCCCTTTGTCAGTACATACATGTAGTATAGTAACCTTTAAAGATCTTACTGCTGTACTTATTAAAATAATTTTGAAAATCTATAAGCCCCTATGTATATTTTAAGTTGCTGTCCCCCTCCCCATCCATTTTTAAATCACAAGTTTAAATAGTTGCAGTGGAGATAATTTCTGGTAAATTATAAATGCAAACTTGCTCTAAATGTATTTCTTTGAAATTTTTGTAGTTTCCAATGTAGCCTCTTCTATTCATTATATGTCTGTTCTTTAACCTAATTGCCAAAGTTTATTTTGGTTGCTAAATTAATCAGTCAAATAAGACTTAATTTCTGTCAGAAAATAAAGTATAGCTCAGTTTTTCAAGTCAAATAATTATATTCACATATGTTCATACCCAGATAATCTCACCTCTGACTTCTAGGAGGCATTATTGGGTTCCTTGTCATAACTGGGTCATCTGGGTATAGTAAGGAGCAGCCTCTTCCTTCCCAAATCCATCTTAGCTTTATTTTCAAATAAACAGTATATTCTGGAAACATCCGTTAGATTGGTGCCAAGAAGTATTCACTCTTTGAAACATTGCACCATAAGTTTGCAGATGGTTTGGTATTTGCTTTTCTTTCATAAAATGGGAGAAGTGTGGCTATTAAAGAGGAAGTGGGAAAGGATGCTCAAAATTCAATTTTCTGAAAGAAGTATGGTGTTGCAAATATGGAAGGTGGTTTCCCTAAAATTTTTCCTATTTTCACATTCTTTGGAAAGAGTATGTATTCAGGTGTCTAGCACTCCAGTTTTAAGACTGCTTGTTCAGAAAAGATGTTAAATTCTGGAAGTGACCTCTCCTATACTTCAATAACCTTCTCTTGTGGGAGCAATAGGGCGGAGGTGAAGGGAGAGATGAAAACTGAGAGTGGGTAAAAATAACAAGAAATGTATTCTCTTCAATTTTATTTATTAATTAGTAAATACAAGTATAGTAATAAGTAAAAGTGTTTTAAGAGGCATATATATATTTTCATATTGTGAAGAGCTCAAACACATAAAATACTATTGTTTTAGAATAAGTGTTCAAAGAATAATACTGTGACTACTCTTATCAGGGTGATCGTGGAGACCCTGGGCCTGCAGGTCTTCCAGGCTCTCAGGGTGCCCCTGGAACTCCTGGTCCTGTTGGTGCTCCAGGAGATGCAGGACAAAGAGGAGATCCGGTAAGAAGGCAGTCAATTTTTCACTGTCAGTTAAGCATTGTATTATAAACTTCATGTATGCACAAAAATAGTGATGCGTATGCATTTGGTTCAGGACTCTGAACAAAGAATGATAAGGAGCCAATTATGAATTAATATATATATTAGCCTTAAGATCATTTGATTTCAAATATGGGTTCAAAGATCCTAATACCTTGGTTTTAATTATCTGAAAATGCTGTCTGTGATTTATAGGAAATGAAATAAGTGTGCATCAGATTATGAAAGTAATGTCTTTTTGTAATCAACTAAGATATTCTTCACTTAGTGAAGTCAGTTAATAAAATTGCCTTTAAAAGTACTATTGGTGTTGGCACATTCTTGCAGATGTTCACCAGACTCAATGGATTAGCCATAAGAGTGTACATACAGACACATACAGGCACTGAACTGTAAACACATGTTTTTTGACATCCTGTGTCTATATATGTATGTTTTAAAATACCAACTTGTGTGATATTTTTCTAGGGTTCTCGGGGTCCTATAGGACCACCAGGTAGAGCTGGAAAACGTGGATTACATGTAAGTCCTCTGTTCTCTTAACAAATGCATGTTTTCTTACACAAAATATGCTTCCAAAGAAGAAGTATTATTTAAGATTCAGAAATGGGAGGGATGGAGAAATGCTATTCAATGGGTACTAAGTTATAGTTGGAAAGAAACAAGAAGTTCTGATGTGCTGTTGAACAGTGGGCTGAATGTAGATAAAAATAATGTACTGCACATTTCACAAAATAGAAGAATGGATTTTAAAGTTTTTACCATAAAGAAATATAAGTGTTTGAGGAGATGGATATATTTTTCCTCATTTAGACATTACATCATATGTGCATGTATCAAAACATCACATTAGTACCTCATTAATAATTGTTTCAATTATCAATGAAGACTAGAATCACAGTTTTCTCCCAGAATAATAGGTACAATAGTGTATTGCTCTCCAAGATGTTCTCAAAATCATATAGGACAGCAAATCTGCAATCTCTTTGTATTCTTGAAAAGCACCATTTAAATATGTTTTATTTTCAACTTTACTGTCTTGGATGGTTTCCAATCTTTATGCTGTTTGCTTTTGGCTGATTTTTAATTATTATTATACAGATGTTCTATTGTTTTATGTTTATACTTATGGTGGTCTAATAGATTATATTTCTTATACTCATACATCAATGTCTATAATCATGAAAATCAATTATATCCATAAAACCATGGTCATATTTTTTATATTATGACTCTCCACTTTGATTTGAGCTTGACTGGCAAAAGATTTCATAGTAGCACTACTTGTCAAATAAATGGTTTTCTAACCAGTGACAGAAACACTATAGCTTTATTTTTCATGAAAAAATGAATTTTAATTAATTTAAATTGATGTTTTCTGTTATAGTTTATTCTCAACTATGAAATTTTTGGGCAACTTCAAAATAAAAGAACCTTTATAACATTATAAAAACATTCAGACTAATTTTGATGTTCACCTTTACATTGGTATGTAAAATATGTAAAAGCTATTAAAATTGTTTTGATTTTATTATAAAAAGGCTGACAACTAGGTATTCCAAATTAACAACCAAATGCAAAATAAAACCAAAGAAACCAATAAGGGAAAACATTAACCTGAGAACCAGTGGATTTGATGATTCCATCCATCTTCCAAAGGCAGATTAACAGGGTTCCAGTTCTGTTTTAGGAGAACTCTAAAGACAGCAGAAGCTGACTTCATAGTGGGGAACACCATGCCACTTGTCACTTTACTGTGAACCGTTGAACCCTTAGAATTGTTTTTATTTCTTAGAACCTAAAACAACAACTGACTACCTCAAATCAATGAGAGAATTTTCACCTCTTCGGCAGTTGCAGTTCCTATGACAAAATAAGATTCCTCATTTTTCTTTTGTTTTTTAGGACCAGAAATTCAGGATCTGGGTACAGATATTACAGTTAAAAATGAGAATAACATTATTTTTTTGTATTTTCTTTAGAAAAGGGTAGTTTATTGATGATACTTTGATTTTATTTGCTCAAATATTTACCCCTTTCTCAATATAATCACAGCTGACATTTAGTTTATTTGCATATGCAAATTTCTTTTTCTTTTTTGGGAGGGTGGTGGGTAGCCAGGGACTGAACTCAGGGGCACTCAACCTTTGAGCCACATCCCCAGCCCTATTTTGTATTTTTATTTAAAGACAGGGTCTCACTGAGTTGCTTAGTGCCTTGCTTTTGCTGAGGCTGGCTTTGAACTCACAGTCCTCCTGCCTCAGCCTCCCAAGCCTCTGGGATTACAGGTGTGTGCCACCATTGCCTGGCTGGGTATGCAAATTTAATGAACATTTCATTCTTAGAGGTAGCATGGCAAATAAAAAAAAAGTACTTTGAGGTTTTTTGTTTCAAAGAATCTATTTACAGGGAAATATTTTTGCATTATGATATCTGATAAATAAGTGAAATGTATTTTTTTGAAAATCTTTCAAATAGGTTAGATCAAAGTTAAAAATATCTCATTTAAATATAAATTAATTTTTATGCTTAAAAAAGATAAACATTTAAAAACTGAATCTTTAGGAAAGCATAACTGATCACCTACAATTCTTTGGAAATAATAGACAAAAATCCTATGGCTCTTTAGATAAGTAAATATGTTCATTCATATAAAATACAGTATTAAAAGTTATGGTAAATGCAGTTGTCAAAAGTAAAATTGCCGGATGGAGTTGTGGCTCAGAGTTAGAGCACTTGCTTTTGGCACTTGCTTAGCATGTGTGAGGTACTGGGTTCGGTACTCAGCACCACATTAAAAAAATAAAATAAAGGTATTGTGTCAACCTACAACTAAAATATAAATGTTTAAAAAAAAGTAAAACTGCAGAAAATTGTAGTCTCAAGATATAAATAACATCCATGCCATAACTGTATTTCTAGGGACCTCAAGGACCCCGTGGTGACAAAGGTGATAGTGGAGACCGAGGTGACCGGGGTCAGAAGGGCCACAGAGGCTTTACTGGTCTTCAGGGTCTCCCTGGCCCTCCTGTAAGTTATTATTTATGTTTATCTGCTGTTAACACAGATGAATTTTTTTAAATCTCATTTTAATTTCAAAATTACCTATTATACAATATAATTGTCCTCATATAAGCTATAATTGTGTGGGGTAGATATAAAACAAAATGTTACTTGCATCTTTACTCCTATGGATAGTTGTCTTTAATAGTGACCATCTCATGGAAACATTGTAGAGATAGATGACTTAGTAGTTGATACTGCTAAAGTCAATGACAACATATTTTAAAACTGACAATGGCATAATGCAAGATCTAAATATTTGAACAACATTTTCAATTTTATTCCTGTTTAGGGTCCAAATGGTGAACAAGGCAGTGCTGGAATCCCTGGTCCATTTGGCCCAAGAGTAAGTAGCAAAAGTAAATAAATTGCAGGTACAAATAATAACACCTTTGGTGACATAACACAAATGTTTCAGTTTCATTTTCACGATATTAAAACTGGAGTTGGTTCATGTTCTCTGAAGGTGGCATCAATTATATGAGACAAACCAGCCAGCAATTAATATAAGTAGGAATATCCGCTAATAATATGGACCCACTTTGGAATCTCTGACCTAGGATTTGTAGATATTCATCGACTCATTTTCTTGCTTTATGTTAATTTAAATTTCCATTAAGCTTGCACTCTTTGAGGTGATATAATTGGACCTACTCATGAAGTGGAGACAAATTTTGAAGCTGGATGTATTTTGTCCTTTAAGTAATTATGATAGTATTATGATAGTTCCTTAGAAATGGTTTGTGCACAGCTAATTTGGAAGCAAATCATAAAATGAAACCAATATTTGAAGCTTTTAGAAAGTCTATGTTCATATTAATGCTTCCTGTAATAAATTATTAATGTAATAATACAATTGACACTATAATTATTTAGGTGAATAGAAAAAGGAGTCTAGAAAAAAATTTAGAAAAATTAATTAACAATGAATCTTACTGTGTCTAAATACATTGTAAATAAATCATGGATAAAATTGAAATAATAGTATAAAATTACTCTGTTTCTACAGGATAAGCACCCCAGATTAATTTATATCTAACCCTCCAACTTTAGTCATTTTCTTATTCTGAATTAATTGAATTCCGAACTAAGTTTATTTGAGATTTGATGAAACAATTGTTGCCAATAAAAGTAGATGATTAGTCTATTAAAGTCTTTACACTGATCTTTTACAATGCATGGATGAAGGAAAATTCATGTCTGATGAAATTGTAAATGCTGAAAAGTGCCAGAAGGTCATTTATCAGTCATTAAGAAAATGCATCTGAGAAATCATTGTAACAGCTCCATCAGCACAGTAGTTCTTGGATTAGAGAGGGGCATTGTAAAAAAAAAAAAAAAAAATTTTTCCACAGAATCTAAAACAGAGTAATTGTTTTCTTTCAGGGTCCTCCAGGCCCAGTTGGTCCTTTAGGCAAAGAAGGAAACCCTGGGCCACTTGGGCCGATCGGACCTCCTGGTGTTCGGGGCAGTGTAGGAGAAGCAGGACCAGAGGTAAAGTCATAGGGGTTTACACACAGGAAATGCTGTTGAGAAAAACAGCTTAGATTCCATCAAATAATGTCTATGCAGCCTGTTGAACAAGAGACTTAAGGGGGCCCTGAAAACAAAATTTCAAAGCCACACAAGAGCTTGTTTATATAAGTAACTGTTTCAAATATTTTAATATAGGTCATTTAGACTATAACCAGGCTTTGACAGAGATAACCAGGCTTTGATTTCATCTGATACTATGAAAGCAAATAGCAAGTTAAGATTATATTTATGTTGCTTTGCTTTAGATTACATATTTTAAGTATCTGTGGGATATAGTTTGTATGTCATGAAAATGCTGGAAAATGAAGTATATGACTGAGATTTTTCTACATTGCAAATGACATTCAGAGAGAATTTTAATTAAAACCTTTCATTAAAAATTCTTATAGTTTTGGCTTGAGGAATATATATAGTTATAAAATGCATTAGCTAATCTTTAGCTTCTCAGACCTTTGGAAAGCATCTTTGGTCTCCATGTGCAAATGTACTAGTGTGCACATGCGCATGTGTGCATGTAAATTTATGCTTCTCTCCGGGTGTTTCTTTAATCTAATTTACCTTCTCCTCCTTATTTTGTCTTTGCTCCTCAATGGTAATGCCATTAAACCAAATATTTACTATTTGTTGTGTGGGTCAAATAGGCTTATGTTTCCTATGGTCAAGAAAAATGTTTCCTACTAATTTCTTTGCGAATAGAAAACAGTTATATAATTAGAATGCATTGGATTCATGCAGCTCTTGGTTGACTTTATTTTGTGGTTCAGTGGTCTTTGGTAGACAAAAACAAAAACAAAAACAAAAAAAAACCCAAAAACCCGAATCTTATTCCCCAAGGTTAGCATAAAGGAATGTATGTACTCATGATGACCTTAGAAAATGTATTTATAAGACCCTTTTGAGAATGAGAGAGCATTGGCACTGGGGCTAACACAACTTGCCTGATGCCACAATACAAGTGGCAGAGCCATTGTTAGAACTCCAGCCTCTGATGCCCAGGGCTGTGCTCTATGTGTGGTTTGAACGTGTCTCTTCAGGTTTTTGCCTGTTTCTTTCAAGCTGTTGAGTTTGTCCTTGGGAATTGCTGAAGGAAATGAATACAGAAGACCTTTGTAGTCCCTGCCACATTTTTGTGCTTATCTTCCTTTTAACCCAATAGTTCTCATTTGACAAAAGTATAGGAGAGCTCTTTATGTCTGTAAAAATGCTAGTGAGAACTTTCTTCCATTTTATTAGTACAGAGAATTTTTATGTGCATGGTAATTCACACATATAAAAAGATTTCCTTTGCTTCCCTTTGATTAGAATGTAGGGGAAATTCTCTTGTGGGTGTTTCTTGTGGGTATTTCCTTGGTATTGACATGCACCTTATAGAACCAGCACCCTGTGCCCCTGCAGCTTTTCTTCATCTTCCATCCATAAATGCTTTGAAAAAATTTGAGTTGTATCTTGCTCAAAATAATTTTGAAATGATGTACATATTTGCATGTTTTCAATATAAATTATATTGTATCTTCAAGATAGACATCAAAGCAAATATTTTGTGCTTTAATCTTTATTTATCTCAGATGCTGACTTGCAGATATGTTTCCTGAAAAACATATCCTTGGAAAGCTATAACTTAGCAGGCCAGCACCATCTTCTTACAAAAGGGCATGAGTGACAGATCTCCCAGAACTGTCAAATTGGAGTGTCACATCATATCTCTGTGTACCACATCTACATAAAAATAAAAGCATTATATTAAATGTCTTTCTGATTTCTTTTTAATTAGGGTCCTCCTGGTGAGCCTGGTCCACCAGGCCCTCCAGGTCCCCCTGGCCACCTTACAGCTGCCCTGGGTGATATCATGGGTCACTATGATGAGAGCATGCCAGATCCACTTCCTGAGTTTACTGAAGATCAGGCGGCTCCTGATGACAAAAACAAAACTGACCCAGGGGTCCATGCAACCCTGAAGTCACTCAGTAGTCAGATTGAAACCATGCGCAGCCCTGATGGCTCCAAGAAGCACCCAGCCCGGACATGTGATGACTTAAAGCTTTGCCATTCCACAAAACAAAGTGGTAAGTGGACAGTGGCCCTTTTGAGCAGAGGGTGTTGTTTCTGTTGATGTTGCTCTCACCTACATTTAAAAATATTTTATTAATTTTCTAATTAGTGATAGACACAGAGAAAAAGAAATACACATGCCACAGAGCTCTTACAGTTTAGTTGTGGAGAAAGTAAATGACATGAAAAATTATAGGGCAAGATGATATGCACTATAATAGAGCATATATTCTATAAATGATCTAATTTCACAATAGTTCCATTTCCATCCAGAAGTCCTAAACAGTGGTAATTTGCAGAGAATAGAAAACATTTCATATCTATATATCTATCTCTTTATCTATCTAACTGCACACACAACACAATACTTTCTGAAGCCAAATTAAACATTTATTTACCTGTATGACCTCTTAGAGTTTTAATATGTCACCATATATTGTTGGATTGTTGAGAGTCAACTAAAGTTTTGCTTGAATATTGAATTCCTTTCATGTAGTTTAATGTTCTATGAGTCATACTTCTGGGATTTTTTTGCAGGCAGGAATAAGTTATAGTAAGATTGGAAGGCTTTTTTGGAATTTTGAACTATGAACTATGCTTAAACTTTGCCTTATTCTATTATTTTGATTGTTCTAATAAGATCCGGGGAAGAGAGATCCTAGACCATAGGAATAAGCTGAGAAATATTCAAGAGTTTCAGTTAACTATGAAATGACATTGACAATGGTGTTAAAAATATCATCTTTCCAGAGTAGCCAATTTTATTATCAAATTATTTATATTCTACCACTCTCCTTTCACTCTATTTAAAACTTGATTTTCATATATTTACAGGCAAATATATGTACATACACACCCATATATGCACAAATACACATTTTTTAATTTATTTGATCATATGTCTAGTATAAAGCACTGTCTTTAGTATGTCCTGTTTCAAAAACCTATTATATATGAGCAGATTGATTTCAAGAATGGCTGATGATTCATAACATTCTATTATAATTCAACTCATTTATTTATTTCATTCATAGTTTAAATAATACACATTACATTCCAATTATAATTTTCTTTAAGACTTTGGCTTTTTGAATTTAACGAGAATACACTTATATAGGCAAAGCCACTTACAATATATCATCTCTTTTTGCTATATTTTCTCTTCTGTAAAATGGGATAACATTTATTTCACATGTATGTTTTGAGCCTTAGGTACACAGCTGGGCAAAGTGCCTTAGAGCAGTGACAAGTATTTGGGAAATCCCCATATATATAACAATTATTTTCTTCTTTAAAGCATAGTCTCTGTTAAAAGAGACCTTCATTGATAATTTCATATTTCTAATTTCTGTGTTAATTATTTTGGAGATTCATAAACATGTTTGAGGATTTTTTACTTAGCAAATATTTGTCATTTGGAAAACAGGTGAATATTGGATTGATCCCAATCAGGGATCAGCTGAAGATGCAATCAAAGTTTACTGCAATATGGAAACAGGAGAAACATGCATTTCAGCAAATCCATCCAGTATACCTCGTAAAACCTGGTGGGCCAGCAAATCTCCTGACAATAAACCTGTTTGGTATGGTCTAGATATGAATAGAGGATCACAGGTAATTAAATAGTCTATTCAAGATTATATATTTTATCACATTTTTGTGTTTATTTAGAATAATGCTGTTCGCTCTTGACCAGGATTATTTTAAAGTGACATATTTTCCTTAGTTACAGTTGCAATACCAAGGCATAAACCAAGTTTATAATGAGTCAGCTTGATGTAAATTTTGAATTATAATTTTGCCATTGATGAAATGTAGAGAAGTAGTTGTTTCTAGGATTAGTTACTCTAATTGACGCAACAGTGACAATGGAATGGACCTGAAGGGATCTTGCCACAGTTGAATGACAGTCTTGAGGAGTCCTGGGTAACTCTTTGCTAGATCTTTTACTGATGTTTGTCCTTATGACCTGACTAAAACTTTTGCAACCTCAGGTTTACCAGCTTATAGTGAGGCTAATAATTCAGATCCCAGAGTGTCCATATGAATATAAGTGTTTAGTATAATGTCTAGAATACACTAAGTGATATATAAATATTAGATAATCTTTAATAATGAAGTCATGTTGTCAATTTTATAGTATTATTAAATCTTAAAGCATATGTGTAATTATATAAATTTGATTAATATTTTCCTGAGTTCCAATCTACCCTCTGCTCCTTTCGTGGTCTAGTATTCAACTTTCACCAGGCCTTGATAATTCCATTTTAATATTTCATCCCAGATCTCCTTATGATGGCCAAACTCTGAAATTTTCCTTCCATTTCTGCTCCTAACCTTTCCCCAGAACTCATGTTCAGAATCAACATGATGCAGGAACCCTGAGTCTAGCAGGATATGCTAGAATCTACCATTATTTAATAAACAAGAAATTTTAAAACTTAAATATAAACAGTTGAAATGTAATTTAGCTTATATGACGTTATGTAAAAAACTCAAATGGGAGCACTGAAAAGAAAACTTAAAGTAGAAGATGAATAAAAAAGAGCTTGTGGTCAATTATTTTTTGTCTAGAGGAAAAATTTTAAATTCATATTTCCTTCAAGTTTATGATAATTAGGTAGTAAAGATTTTATTCTAATAGCTAATTTCTAATTCTTATTTAATAATAATGACAGTAATGAGTTTTTTTGATAGATGATCAAAGCAGATTTTAAAATAGCTAATCTTTCTCTGGAAAATTATAATTATTATTGGTTTCATCACCTCTCATTCAGGGTAGTAAGGACAAAGGTTATTACTTGTTAATATGTTGGAAATTTCAGGTCATTTTATACGTATAGCTAGAGAGCCATATTATATAATAATTGAAGATTTGTTAAAATCAATTAATCTATCTGTAACACATTAAGAAATTCTTCAGTATTGAATATAAAAGACTTTGTTTCTAGTTTGCATACGGAGACCACCTGTCACCTAATACAGCCATCACTCAAATGACCTTCCTGCGCCTGTTATCGAAAGAAGCTTCCCAGAACATCACTTACCTCTGTAAAAACAGTATAGGATACATGGACGAGCAAGCCAAGAGCCTCAAGAAGGCTGTGGTTCTTAAAGGGGCAAATGATTTAGAAATCAAAGGAGAAGGGAATGTGAGATTCAGATACACAGTTCTTCACGATACTTGCTCTGTAAGTACTTTTCATCTACACTGATCAAACTTATTTTTTCAAAACATACTATCATAGTACTATAAGTGGGGACAGTTTTGCCTTGTATATAAGCTCAGCAGCATTTTGTATATAGTTACTCTTTAGGATCAACTTGAATGTGTATTAACACATGAAGCATGATGGAAGTGTCAATATAAAATAGTAAAAAAAAAAAAAAGAGCTGGAGACCTAACATTGGATCCAATTCTTTTCAATTCTGTTTGTTTCTTCTGCAAGTCATTTAACTTTCTGAATCTCAGTTCCATGTGTAAAGTTCCTTGATTTTAAAATGTATAGTCAATCACTGATTGTCTCCCTCTGGCATACCTAGATATAAAATAAGGAAGATATTATAAGATAAATTATAATTTTATTTGTGACAAACAAAACCAGTTACTTTTATAATTTATATTGCTGCTATTTGGGAAGCTGCAAAAGATAAAAGGAAATTTACCTAGAAAGAAGTGCTTGCCAGGTGTGCTGGTACCTCACTTGAGGTTACCAGTGCTCTGACATTTAAGTAGTATTCTATAAATGATTGATTTTATGTTATAAAAGTTGCCTGGGGAGGTTTATATCTAACATTCAAAAAAATTGTATCTACTATTAATCCACTGCACCATTTATTTCTAGAAGCGAAATGGAAATGTGGGCAAGACCATCTTTGAATATAGAACGCAGAATGTGGCACGTTTGCCCATCATAGATCTTGCCCCTGTGGATGTTGGCGGCACAGACCAGGAATTTGGCATTGAAATTGGGCCAGTCTGTTTCATGTAACACAAGCCCAGACAGTGACAGTGAGCATCACCATCAATGATCACTACCCCATTCACAAGAACTTTGACTGTTTGAAGTTGATCCTGAGACTCTTGAAGATATGGCTGATCATGCATCAGCACTGTATATATGGTCTTAAGTGCCTGGCCTTCTTATCCTTCAGAATATTTATTTTACTTACAATCATCAAGTTTTAATTGATTTAAAATAATTTTCAATACAAGTTTAGAATTATGATGACCAATGACAATGATCACCTTTTAAAAAAAGTAAACTCATTAAATAAATAAATATCTGTTTTCTTCAATTTATTTCAATGTAATAAAAAGGTTGCTTAGTATTTATGAGGAAATTTTTCTTGGCAGGTAGCTTAAAGAGTGGGGTATATAAAACTACAACACATGTTTATTTTGCTTGGCTGCAGTTTGAAAAATTTTTAAGAAATTAGTTCCCTTTTGGGATCCCTTATTCCCAGATCATCAAGAAAAAAAGAATCAATATGTTTAAATCTTTGATTGAAACCCACATGTGTGTCTTGATGTACTATTACTAGTGTTAAAAGAGAAGCTTAAAAAAATACAAGTTTATCACTGTATTAAATGGAATTTTTAAATAACATATTCAGTGCAATTTTAGGAGAAAAAAATAAATTTCTCCCATTTCTCAAATTTTTGCAAAATATGATACATGTAGACTCATTTCCCATTCAATTTTAAAAGTACCTTTCCCTTTTGATGCAATTTATCAATACTGATAGAAATTACACAGATACACTACTTAATACATTTCCTTCTTATTTAAGAAGACACTAAATGTGAAATAACTACACATACAACTTCATAAATACATTTCCAGGACCCACGATTGAGGCTTTTCCACATAAATATAATTTCATCTTCCTGAAGAAAATAATGAAGAAAAAGATATAAAAACCCAGAGTTATGGAGCTGACTCTAATCAAATGTGATGATTGGAATTAAACTATTTGAAATTTGAACTTTCATAGGAAAAAAGATCCAACATTTCTTAGCATGAGCTACCTCATCTCTAGAAGCTGGGATGGACTTAGTATTCTTGTTCATATTTTAGATACCAAAAGGTGCTATGCTTCTGTTATTATTCCAAGACTGGAGATAGGCAGGGCTACAAAATATTATTATTATTTTTTCTTTTAATGATGGTGCTAAAATTCTTTCTATAAAATTCTTTAAAAATCAACATTGTTTCATCAATGCCATTTGTGAAAATGTATCTGTTAGACTTCCCATTTCTGAAAGAAAGAGCATTGTTCTAATGCCTTTTCATTGTTCCTCTGTCATACTGTATCTGGAATGCTTTGTAACATTTGCATGTTTCTTAGATCAGGACATGTAGGTCCCTTGTTTTTTCTTAATTGCATTTGTTGGCTCCATTTTTATTTTATTATTTAAAAATAAATAGCCAGAGTCATCCAAAGGATAAGCCATGCACACAACTGTGGTCATGTATCTCTGCAAAGCATCAAATTAAATGCACGCTTTCATCATGTCAGTCATTTTTTTGTTTTTTTGTTTTTTGGAATTCCTTTCAACACAGTAGATTGATATAATTTCCAATAGTAAATAATAATAATAATAAGGTGTTGTGGTATTCTGCATTTTCTGTTTGTTTGAAAGATACAACAAATATCTTCCATCATGTATGTACTGGCTTATAAATGAAAATCTATCTGTGACATTATCCACAAAGGCAACAGGGCACTAATCATCAATGTTCAGTCCTTATAAAATGCCAGGATAGTGTTAGGTAAAAGACAGGGTATGGGGAAAGGAAAGATAGAAAAGGTGGAAGTTAGGGTAATGCCTCATGCCTGCAGCCCACCTAACACTCCCTTAAAAAGGGAAGCTGGTCCACCACAAGGAGAATTCAAGACCCAAAAGGGAAAGTCCCCTATCTTGGGAGGGACTGACCTAAAGTTAAGTTGGTACTAGTTAGCATATCATTAGCTTTGTGGCTTGCTCCCCCACTGTGCATTTGCAGGTAGGTGGGGGAAAGAAACTATGGACTGGCAGTAGAGAAGAAATTTTGTCAAAATCAGCTGTCAATCAAGGTACTAATCAAACCCAGGTCCACCCAGGGAAAAGCACAGCCCAATAAAAGCCAGCTTCACTGTATAGACAGGGTCTTGAGGTACACTTCTCAGTTCAGCCCACTCTGTTCTCTCAGAGTGTTCTTTTGCTTTTAATAAACCTTTGTTTTGCTTGCCAACTTCTTGGGTCTCACTCAATTCTTTGTTCAGGACAAAAACCTAAATTTAGCAGGATCCCCTGGGGACACCTGCTTGGGCATTGGTAACAGTAGCACTATTGATTAAAAAAGGAAAGAAATGGATTTTGCGTGGCTGAATGGACTGCTAATAAAACAAGTCTCGATATGTATCATACAGAAATTTAACCTAAATGTTTTCAGTTTTATTTTTAGTATTTATTTCACAACATAATTTTTTCCAAGTTGTTTAGTATTTGATCTCTGTATCTTGAATGTGGATATTTATATAGCTGAAAAAATTTGAAAGTTTTGTTGAATTTCTTGTAGGTAAAACCTTCACAGGTTGCACAAGTTCAGATAGGTGAGCCAGAAATATGTGGTGATTCTATTTAGTAAAACACTAAGAGTTCTCAACTACAGAAATATCCATTCTTATTTGAAGCCCAGGAATCTTACAAATAAAAGGTTGTCCAGACTATTCTAAAGCCTTCAGATTTCTTGCCTACTTTGTAGATCTCTTGGTCCGGTTAGACTATTGGACTCCTTCATGTCCTGTAGGCACCTCAAACACTACACAATCAAAAGTGAAATGCTTTACATTTGAGTAGAAGGTGGTATTAATTACTTGTTGATTTATTAAAATACAAATAAAAATTAACAGAAAGGAAGAAAACACAAAGGAAAGATGAACACAAACTATGCTGAAAAAGTCTCAAACTCATAACACAAAGTTTGATAAATTCTGGACAGGTTTAAGGTGATTTGTTTCAAATTGAAAAGGTATTCAAGGAAGCATTATAAAGTATCCCTCCTCAAGAAAATGCTTTTATATGTCCAAAAACAAGTGCAAAATGTCTGGCAACAAAACAATGATTGGAAATATCACACTCAGAGTCCCTATCCTACCACAAATAAGAACACCTCAGGACAACTTTTTATTTTTTAAATGTGAGATTATGAAAATTTCAGGGGAGACCAAAAATAACTCCCTTAAAAGTTAATTTTGGGCTGAGTTCCAACAGTGGCAAACCAAGTAATGATCCAGCAACACTAATCCCCAAACCTATAGCACAGGGGACATGCCTTGAAATGGACAGCTCATTCAAAAGCAACTTTTTATTTTAGCCTTTGTTAATGCATCATTTCATTCAGTTATGTTAATGTTGGTATTTCCTTAGAGGTCAGTCTTTTTTTTTTAATTTTCATACTCTATATTCTCTTTTCACCTATGCTTACCTATGCCTATGACTTTAATTACCATATATATATATATATATATATATATATATATATATATATATACATGTCAAAAGCTCTAAAAGCGTATATTTAGCACAAACATCCCTGTGGAGCTTAAGAATGCACATTTAAATGTTGAACTCACCATCTTCATTTGGGTTTTAGAGGTATGTATCTGTATATATCCAAAACCAAATTAGTGATATTTCTACCTTAAAGAAGTATTTTGTTCAGTGTTTTCTCTCTCAGGCAACAGCTTCTTCATCCACCATTTAGGAGGGCTAGGGACCTGTGAGTCATCCTTATGGCCTTTCTTTCTCACTGATCAAGCCATAGTCATGGTATTACCAAGTATTTTCAATATTACTCCAAAATGTTTTGTAATGCCGTATCCTTCTCTTCATTTCCATCGCCACTATCCTACTCCACATATTTACTATCTCTTGCCTGGGCTCTTTTATTAGCTTTCCAACAGATTTCCAGATACCCACTTGTGCCCTCTTCTGATCCACTCTTCCCATGATAGATGGAATGACCAATTTGAAATACAAATCTTTATGTGTGACTTGTTACTCTCCCCATCCACCAACACAATGCACACACATGAGCATACACACTTATCTTAAAAAGCTTCAATGGCAACCACATTCTAAATGGAGAAAAATTGAAAACATTCTGTCTAAAAACTGGAACAGGACAAGGATGCCCTCTTTTACCACTTCTATTCAACATAGTTCTTGAAACTCTAGCCATAGCAATTAGAAGAAAGAAATTAAAGGGATACAAGTAGGAAAAGAAGAACTCATACTATCCCTATGTGCTGATGACATGATTCTACATTTAGAAGACCCAAAAAAACTCCAACAGAAAACTTCTGGAACTCATAAATTCAGCAAAGTAGCATGAAATAAAATTAACACCCATAAATCAATTGTGTTCCTATATATCAGTATTAAAGCAACTGAAACAGAAATTAGGAAAACTATCCAATTCACAATATCCTAAAAAAATATTTGGGAATTTATCTAACAAAAGATATGAAAGACCTCTACAGAGAAAAGTACAGAACACTAAGGAAAGAAATTGAAGAAGATGTTAGAAGATGGTAAGGTCTACCATGTTCTTGGATAGGCAGAATTAATATTGTCAAAATGGCCACATTACCAAAAGCACTATACATTTTTAATGCAATTTCTAGTAAAATTCCAATGATGTTCATAGAAATAGAAAAAGCAGTCATGAAATTCATTTGGAAAAACAAGAGGCCCATAATAACCAAAGGAGTCTTTATCAAGAAATGTGAAGCAGAAGGCATCACAGTATCAAACCTTAGATTATACTACAGAGCTATAGTAACAAAAACATCATGGTATTGCCAAAAAAAAAAAAAAAACACAAAACAACAACAACAAAGGAGAAAAGATAGCTTCTTCAACAAATGGTGCTGGGAAAAGTGGAAATCCATGTATAGCAAAATGAAATTAAACCTCTTTCTCTCACCCTACACAAAACTCAAATCAGAGTGGATCAAAGAACTAGGCATTAGACCACAGACCTTGTGCCTACTAGAAAAAAAGTAGGCCCAAGTCTCCACCATGTTGGCTTAGGAATAGAATTCCTCAACAAGACTCCTAATGCATGAGAAGTAAAATCAAGAATTAATAAAAGGGATGGTATCAAACTTAAAAACTTTATTACAGCAAAGAAAACAATCAAGAACATAAAGAGAGAGAGAGCCTACAGAATGGGAGAAAATCTTGGCCACCTTCCTCTCAGATACAGCATTAATCTCCAGGGTATATAAAGAACTCAAAAAACAACACCA